TATTCTGCCATTGCACTGGATCTTTTTTGTATTTGCAATGTCTACTTAGCCATGATTTTCATGGTAGTTGATATCATGGTGTATAAAGGAAATCAAACTTCATAAATTTTATTTATTTATTTATCGTGTCATAAGCAAGTTGAGAGTACAGTTAAAATGCATTTAAAAACACAAACCAAGTTTTAAAAACTTGACATTGTAATAAATGTCCTTTGACCAGAAGCTGGCCCCTTGGAGTACCTATAGTGTCGCCATGAGAAGGTCCTCCATCTGGTTGCATTGTAGTATGTGGTCTGTGGTTTGCTCTTCTCCACACCCCAATGTCATACACTCCACTTTGTAGCCCCATTTTTAAGGTTAGTTCTGCATCTCATGCTGCAGATTTAATTAAATTTAATTAAAGGGTTTATATTTAAGGCAAAGAGCCTCTTCTAAAATAATTCCAATAACAACTTGTCCTTCTTGAAAGGAAGACATAGTATGTAAATTTCCTAGGACCTGAGAAAATATGAAAAGCAGACACTACTTTGACTATTCTTTAGGAAGAAGATAAATAAACTACTCTACATAACTATCAGTATCTATGTGAGCATATTCTTGCTGCTTGGAGCTGTTTTGCTAATCCCTGCTTTGTTTTTAGGCAGTATATTAACAGTACAAAAATGGTCTCACTGCACCATGATTTAACAATGTGAATATACAACAAGGAGTCTCTGGGACTATCGGCAGCAGTCCAACAACAGATAATAAGGCTCCTGTTACCAGAGAAAAATATGTTCTGTAGGGACAATGGAAGTGAAAGTGATCATTCTCATCAGGTTAATTAGGTCGTTCATGTTTCACTTACGGAGCAAGTATCCTCCAAATTCAAAACATCCCCCCTTATCTCACTGAAGCCCTCATAAGCATATATAGACATCATGTTTTCTTTTACTCTGTCCTCCCTTTTTTGAAATTCTGTACAGCATAATGTTTGTGCAAATCAGGTACATTACTATAAAGCGGTGTTTTGAACAGCAACATTGTATGTTCCATATTCATGATTGTCTTTTCTTTCATGCATTCACAAACTTCACTTGTTTTCCAAGCATTTTTATACACTGTAAACAGCTTATATAATCCTTCCTTCACACAGTGAATCTATACCTTCATTTTGCAGGAACCATGGTGCTACATGAGTAAAAGGCTAAAATTTCCAATGCATATTCAGCCTAGGAGGAAAGGATGCCAATGTGGCCAATGTGACACCCCATCATTCAAAATTTAGGGCACCCTACTCCATCATATCAAGGTGCACAATAAGTACTCAGTCAGTAATGGTACCCCTAGAACTGGGGGTGGGTAAGCACGAAAAGTTAGATAGCCACATTGCCCCACCCCCTAGGAGACCTTTAAGGACTGTTTTTCTGCAAAAATGCACTGAAAATTGCTGTGAGGGCCATCAACTTCTCAGGCTTTCCAGAAGGATACCATGGTTGATGGCATCAAGAGCCGCTGAGAGATGTAGAAGCACCAACAGGGACACAATCCCCCTGTCAGTGTTAAGTTGGAGATCATCCACTAAGGTGACCATACCAGTCTCAAATCTGTATCCTGCTTTGAAACCAGTTTGAAACAGATCAAGGAAGTATGCATCATCCAAGACTATCTGGAGTTGGGGGGGGGGGGCAACTGCCCTCTCAATCACCTTGCTCCAATAAGAAGGACTAGATAAGGACCAGAGAATCCACACAGGGCAGTCATCTAACTGCTGCTTCTTTTAAACAGGATGGAAAATTTTCCTCCTGAAGAGATGGATTAATAATATGTCACATTTGAGATCAAATTACATCTCCTCCCTGAATTACCAGTCAAGAAGAGCAAGAATCAAGAAAGAGGTTGTCCTTACTTGCCCCAGGAGCTTGTCGACATCAGCAGTACTCACAAATTGAAATTGATCCAGTATGGTCCCACTCACAGAGTTGCTGGACACCCTATTATCATCTTCTGCTCCAACAATGGTGTCCAGGTCAGCTCTTATATGAGAAATTATATCTGCAATAATGGTAATTAAAGACATCACAACAAGTTACTAAAGGTCCTAAAAGGAGATTCCTGTGGGAGGGTACATCAATTAGACTTCTCACACTCCTGAATAGCAAAGCTGGACATGAGAGCTACAACCAAGCAACACTTCATATGCTTTGTCAGGACAGAGGGACAGATGGAGTCTGTACTGAGTGACTATTTAGTACCTGGAGACTTGGTCCTGGTTCTGCAATGAATTGCTGTCTTTCTCAGGGACCAAATAGCAAAGAACATTACCAGTTCTCCCAGGGAAATAGCAGTAGAGATAAAATAATGGTTGACACAGGGCCCATCCAGACAGTACCTTTATTGCAATTTGTAGTGAATTAATTAGATAGTAGGTTTATTCCGTGCCTTCTTGGAAGGTACAGGATAAACCCACTATTTCCGGTTCTGGAGTGCAGAATACTGCAGTCCAGACAGTATTCCCACAGTTTACTGGGCTAAATACCCACCCCCTTCCTCTGAAGCCCCAAGACCTCTTAGAAAAGTAATGAAAACTTACTTGGCCTCCATTCCAGGCTTCAGCCAGCTCTCCCAGTGTGTAAAAATGAAGCGCTAGGAGAGTAGGGGGAGGGAAGAAAATCACCCCCCCCCCCCCCCCCCGGCACTTTCCTGGCATGTCATTTCACCATAAATAGTTGATTAGACTTCTTGTAGGTTTTTCGGGCTGTATGGCCATGTTCTAGAAGCATTCTATCCAGATGTTTTACCTGCATCTGTGGCAGGCATTCCGAGAGGTTGTGAGGTCTGTTGGAAACTAGGAAAATTGGGGTTATATATCCATAGGAAGTCCAGGGTGGGAGAAAGAATTCTTGTCTGCTGGAGCTAGGTGTGAATGTTTCAACTGGCCACATTGATTAGCATTTAATGGCCTAGCCATTTCAAGGTGTGACTTCTGACTGCTTGGGGGAATCCTTTGTTGAGAGATGATTAGATGTCTCTGATTGTTTCTTGATTGTTTCTTGTTTTAAGTTCCCTTGTTTTGAGTGTTGTTCTTTATTTACTGTTATGATTTTAGAGTTTTTTAAATACTGGTAGCCACATTTTGTTCGTTTTCATGGTTTCTTCCTTTCTGTTGAAATTGTCCACATGCTTGTGGATTTCAATGGCTTCTCTGTGTAGTCTGACATGGTAGTTGTTATAGTGGTCCAGCATTTCTGTGTTCTGAAATAATATGCTGTGTCCATGTTGGTTCATCAAGTGTTCTGCTATGGCTAACTTCTCTGGTTGAAGTAGTTTGCAGTGCCTGTCATGTTCCTTGATTTGTGTTTGGGCGCTGCATTTGGTGGTCCCTATGTAGACTTGTTCACAACTGCATGGTTTATGGTAAACTCCTGCAGAGGTGAGAGGATCCCTCTTGTCCTTTGCTGAGCGTAGAAATTTGTAATTGCCTTTTATATTTTTATTCTTTGCGTCTTCTATAGCATCTGTGTGCTTTAAAAGCATAGCTTCAACTAAGATGAGCACATACAGTGAATGGCACTCTTGATTATACAGTGCAAATTTGCATCTTTTTATCTTACATAGCTGACTTGGTTCACTCACTCAGCAGAATTCAGGTGAACTGGCACAGCAATAATAACCTTCATTATTCCTGTAGCTAGGTGACAGAACTCCACATAAATGGAATAATATTATTATAGAGGAGAGGCAGCTGCTTGAAGGGACCTACAATAAATAAGTGCAGAAACAAGGCCTTGAGAAACTCACTGGGTTTTTATTTATCCGTCATATTCTAAATGAATCAGCATCCTCAGAAACTTTCTTCTTTGTTTTCCTCATTTTTGAATAAACAGCACTTACATTTTGAATATGTATAGCAAGATGAATCTATTTACAGAGTATGCAAGTTTTACATTGATTCTTTCTTAACTCTATCTCATTCTTTGGTTTTTTTAAAAAATATATATAACATGAACATTTGTGCTGTCTTTCATTTTGTGTGGGCAGGAGCAACCACACTCCTCCTGCACCAGCCCATCAAGAAAAATACTAAGACTAGATGTTGCAATAGTCAAAGGTCATAACTTGTTCATTGGTTAAGATGGAAACAAAACTGGCAGCCATGCATGGATTCTGGAACAGAAATCGGACAGCCCAATTGCTGACCGATGCCATGAAAAGTGGGGAGTACAGTGCCATTTCCCAACCATTTCTAACCCAAGTCACCGGTACTGCCAAACACTCTAGCAGCCATATTACTGCTCCGCCACCCTCACCAGAAAACAGGCAGAGGTGTGCTAACAAAATCCACGGCCCATTCCACATGCCCCCAAATTTTGACAAAGGAACAGAATTATGTAAACGATATAAGAGTACATACTAAGTACAGGGTGGGAGGGAGAGACAACCCAAAGCAGACTGAGCTGCAGAGCCTGGCACACCTATAATTTATCCACTTGGAGTAGATTGAAGGTAAGTGGCCTGCCCCTGCTTGGCTGGTCAGACAAGAGCGCACCAAAGCGAGCGGGTACAGGGGCTCCCGGGAAGAAGGAGTACTATGCACATGGTGGGCAGAAGGGAGTGTCAACCGCCGCAACATCCCTGCCTGGTCAATCAGGCAAGGCCTTTTATCCCTGCCCTACTTTTTCGCTTGATGTTTTTTTGTTTTTGTTTTTTTGCTTGAATGACATACTTTGTGCAGTTGCGATTCATGCTTAAGGGACTGTATTTAATGATATCACAGATTCTGGCCCCTGTGACATCAACAGAGGTTGTTTTTAGTTCTCAGGATTTGCCCCTGAAATCTCAAAGCCAGAGTTGCTTCTGACCTGCCCAAACCTGTGCCCTGGTTTTGTAATGTTAATGTTTCTTATCAAAGGAATGGTCGTTTGTTGGGTCAATCAATAGTGAACACAAAATATGCTGGTTCATAAGAAAGTGTTGCAAATTAATCACATGACTTTGTGTAATTCTCTATAAAAGAGAGATCAAACCAAACAGCTTTGCCTTCCCCCTTCACAATGAAGGTCTTAATTCTAGCAGTAGTCTTAACCCTTGTGGGTAAGTAGAAATTCGCCAACTATCACAAAATAAAGGCTGGAAAATTCACAAAATATTTTTCAGTGAAATAAATATAAATTCTTATAATTCTAAAGAAAGTTCTTGTTGTTATCACAAATAATTGGCAAACATTTACAATTCAATGCAGAACACCTGAAATGTCTGCATAGCAATATCAACATTTTAAAATAAAATTAATGTTGTGTATGTTGCACTAATGTGTTTCACCAAAATATGACTTTTTATATTTTAGCTTCTGTTTTTATATTTCAGGTTGTCAGCAACAAAATCAACGTAAGTATCCCTTTATTAGTTCTGATTTTTTTTAAAAGAAATTAAGTCTATTCAACATCTGGAGTATAGTTCACTATCTTGGATTTTATCAGTTGATCCAAAAATTTTCCATAAATTGTCTGTGATATTTATTTGAATATTTTTCCTAGAAACTCAATCAAACAGACATGAAGTTATCTCCTATGACTATGAATTTGAAATTCAGAATAGAATTTCAGGAAAAGGGTTTGCAAGTGCTGGAATGAAAGTTAAATGTAAAGTGGATATTGGTCAAATTGATCCAGATCGCAAGTTTATGCAGGTAAGAAAATAAATCTAATATGGACATTGCATTTTTCTATTAAGCTTTATCAGCTCAGGTAGAATTAAACTTTCACTATTATTTTTATGCACTGCCATAAATTTCTATTCACACCTTCCCAGCTAATTCTCACTCAGCTGAAGCCTTGGAGGATTTGTTCTGCTCAGTGGTCAAATAGACAATAAGATGTAATTTCAGATGCACAATAATTTATTGCTAGATCAATTCAGTTGTTCTCCGGATGTAATGCCTAAATTTTTTTAATCATATGATTTTTATAACTAGTAAACAATAATATATTTTCAAGTAAAGTTGAATGTCATTTCACATTTCTGGAGATTCATTTCATGTGACTGCTTCAATAACTACAGAAGGCACATAGCAATTTATCCTCTCCTCTGCATATTTTGAGCCACTTGTTGGCTTTCTAACAACCTTTGCTGTTCTTCCTTGGAAGTTCTATACACTGAGTATGATCCTACCATCGCTAGTTATTTCTTAAACACTCTTTTGGTTGTTACAGTTGAAAGCAGAAGAGTTAAGGATAAAATTTCAGCAAATTTCACACTGTCATGTTACCTCCATAGATCCAAACATGAAGCCAATGTGCTAGAAACAGCTCTGTTTAGGGCCTGGTGAATAAAAATAAAAGGTTTATTTAGTCTTCGGTAGATTGTGCCCTGGTCCACAGATCAGAGTTTATATAGATGTGCTTCAGGCTGATGACACAGGTAATTGAAAAATAGTCCCATGGACCTGCTCATACATTTCCACTGCAATCACTTAATCTCTGTTGCTGTAGAAAAGCACTTTGCACCCAACAAAGCAGGAGGCAGAGAAGAGAGAAGGCAAATTTTTGCCCTACCCAATCTGAGTAGTCAGCCTTCTACCTTTGGGCTTGAATTCTGGGGTTTTGATTATTCACAGATTTGATTAAAATACTGTCTCAAGGACTTTCTTGCTCGCCCATTGTAACTCTACATCTAGGACCTCATCAGATGGTCCAAATTTGGCAGCGTATACCAGTTCCTCTTTAGTTTTGCCATGGAAAAGGCTGGCTCCCATCCCACGACATACATTTACTTCCAGCAGGGCTCCATGGCAAAACGGAATGTATGATGATGTGGCAACATGAGAGGCTTCACACGTTGCATTAAGATCAACGTGGGCAAGCTGGACAGTGAATGCTCCCCCACCCCATGGGATGGGATAAGGGAAAAACCAGGTGATGCAAAATGTGGGGTGATGAGTTCCCCATGCCGGGCACCACTAGATTCACCAGTTATACTGGAGGATCTTGAGTTTTCTAGAGAAGTGTTCTCTCAAATTTAAAAAATAGTTTTTTATTTGTGATTTTCTCTGGGGTTCTATATCCCTAACATCAATGAATGTGGAGGGCTGGCTGTAGATGGATACCAGGATTTCTCTGCATAAAATAGTGATTTATCAATAAACTTAGCTGTCTTGTCACCTGGCCCCACTTTTTAATTACACTCTGTTATGGTTCTGCTATGTTTACCAACTACTGTTCATCATTTAATGTTAAGGGCACAGGATTAGGTCAAGAAAGGAACAATATTCAAGCCATATAATCATTCCTAGCTTGGTGAATCATAGATTGCAGGGCCAAAACTAATAAAATTCAGGTTTTAGTCTTAAGCTATTATAACACCTAAAATCTTCTCCTTAATATAACAAGGCAGAGCAACAGGACATGTACAGGCTCCATGACAAGCCACATACATTGATTGAAGTGTGTGGGGGGGGGGGAGTGTTAATACAGGTCAAGTATCCCTTATCTATAATGCTTGGGATCAGAAATGTTTTATATTTTATATTTTGGATATAGATACATAATGAGATATCTTTAAGACGGCACCCAAGTCTTAACTGAAATTCCCATATATTTAACATACATCTTATACAAATAATATGATGGCCATTTTATCCAGCATTTTAAATAATGTTGTGCATTAAAGAAATAGTGTGTACATAGAATGATCAGTAAACAAAGATGTCCCTATTTAAGTCACCTATGTAACCAATTTTGGATGTTGGGGTTTTCGGGTTTCAGAATTCTTGATAAGGGATGCTCAACCTGTAATGCTTTTAAACAATGTAGAACAAATGAGCAAAAGCTTTCATTCTCTTATACCTCTGTTCTGGCCTTGATTATGGGTTCCTTTACCATAAAAAGGATGGGAGAGCATGAGCAAGTGTTTAAATACAGAGATTCTCTGTGAGCTATTTCAATAGTCAATTGTTGCACTTGGGGACTTCGAGATCAGAAGGTCATTCTTCTAGTATAAGTAGCTCACCTTTTTAAGAGGCAAACCAAGAAGTCTGAAGAGGCCAAGAGGCCAGAGAAATAGCCACAAGTGAGAGCCACACACAGATCCAGGGAGGCATTTTTCCCATCCCTGTTTCAGACACAAATTGTTGATTTCTGGGAAGGAGTGTGTTGTGGACGGAGGCATCTTACCCATCATATCACATATTTCCTTTTGTTTTTCTGTCTTTTCCACTCATAAATTATAATTTGAATACTGTATCATATAGATATTATATAAATTAATGGCAAATGTAATACTGCAATTTTGTGTATTGCCATTCCAAAACATAAGCGGAAAGGATGTGTGGTTGTGAGTTTTTTCCCCTTAAAATATTTAAAATAGATCAGCATTCAAATACACTGCATAAAAAACCCATGAAGTGGAGAGAAATAACAAGAAATGTGCATTTGTTTGTTTGTTTGTTTGTCTAACAGACCCGCTCCTTTGAAGTATTTGACTACAATGGAGTCTACCCCTGGCAGACTTTCATTCGGTCCCCAAAACTGACTGAACTGTTTGAAAGAGAGGTGAAGGATGTAATCACGTTTCAACACAGGAATGGCCATGTTGAAGATATCATGGCTCCAGCACAAATCTCAGAATTTGCTTTTAACATCCTCAAAGGAATTTTGAATTTACATGAATATACCCTGAAAATCGACCAGAAAAACTATAATTTAAGAGAGGTGAACTCTTAATTTTTCGATTATATTTGTCATCATGTGGCTTTTATATTTTCTGTATTCTCATATTAACCATTTATGGTTGTATATTTTATTTATATGCAAACACGTACCACTTAGAAGACTAATAAGTTTTATTTGGCCTGAACATTCAGATAGTCCTTGTCACCAGTTTACTTACAGTGCAGCAACCACTACTTATATTAGCAAAACAATTCCAAATTGCATTGTCAAGAAATGTAATGCTGTATATTCAAAATGTAGTCCATAATCTGCATTTTCAAGATAAAAGACACACAAGCACAGGACTGTATTCTACAAGGTCTAACTGCCTTTAACTCTTGTTTTAGAATATTTCCCTTCACATATATTTCCAAAGTGCTTGACATATCTTTTGAGAAGTCCTTTCCGCAATATTAAGGCAAGTCAGTTAGAAAAGTTTGAAGCTGAAAAGTAATATCTTGCCTAAAGCTGAGTTCATGGCTGAGCTCTCAGGGCCCTTCTATACTGGCAAATAATCCAATATAGAGGGCACATTAACCTGGGACATCCAAACAATGGACCAGACTAATGCATTTAACCTAGAATAAACCTGTTATTCTAGTATTTGTTCTGTATTTTAAAAATACTTGCAAAGATACAGATCTTCGTTGTTGATCCGTACCTTTGCAGGTATGGGGCCTGAGATGTCTGTCCTTTCCACGATCTCAGGAGGTGTCCCCACAGCCATCCTGTGTTTCCTAGACTCAGGCAGCCCAGACTGGTGAGATGGCAATGCACCCTCCCTAAACCCCCCCCCCCACACGTTTCACCCCAAAGGTTTAAAAAAACAGCCTCCTTACCTAGACACATGTATTCCCTTAGCTTCATGGCCTTGAGAAATGATACCATGGACATTTCGAGAGAGGAGAGCCAAATATCACTTGACTAGAATTCCGAGAACCTGACAGCATCTCAGAGCTCTTCTGTGCTGACCCAAATGTAGACCAGACCTGACTTAGCTTAACTCATGACAAGGCCGTGGTTAACCTAGATCAGCGCCATGAGGCATTTCACCACTGCAGGGCTTATCCAATTACACACTGATGTAAGCGGTCAGTGCAGATGAACCCTCAAAGAGAAAGCAACATGACTTTTCTTCAATTTGTTGAGGCCTATCATGTGATATTCATATTTGTGGTGACTGACCCATTAGTAGCTAACTTTTAGAATTGAGAAAGTCTTAGAGGGCTCAGAGCACTGCAACTTACATGGCATGGGCTGTTTAAATTCAAAGTATGAAAGTAGTAAAGTGTCCTTCCAATGCAAACTCTTCCCCCCTTTCATTATGAACCCTCATTACACTGGATTCAGTACTGACAGGTTATGGAGTGCTGCATTTCAGCTCATTAACTAATGGGCAACATAAGGCATAGGGAAGACTCTAGACTTGAAACACCTTGGGGGAAAGATAGGATTTAAACTTATCAGAAACTCTCTAAGCATACACCAAGATTGCACTTCTGATGAATACAAAATCGTGTTTTAATGTTATAGATCTGAGTGAAACCTGATAATGTGAGGAAGAAAGTTAAGATTCCTTAGCTCTTCAGCAGTGCTTAATTATTACCGCTTTTATGGCACATCTGTGCATCTATAATTCTAAGGCTTCTAACAGAGGAATGTGTGAGCTGTAGATTAGGTGTAATGGGATTTTTAGGGGCAAAATATCAGTCGACTGAGAAAGTTCTCCCTTTTGAGGTTTAATTCTGACTGATCAAATTATTGCACCACATTTTTTATTAAAATGCTCAAATTATGCCTCATATACAATAAGCCCTAATTGGAACTGAATCAGGAACTTCCCAGTGAGCCAAGCCACAAGTTGAGTGAAGTCTGTAGGGGTTTTCAAGTAATCTTTCAGCAGTAGCCCATTCCTGAATCTTTAACAAGAAATATGTAAAAGGAAAGGAGTAAAAACATAGCAATGATTAATGGCATGCATTAGAGCAGAGATATTTTACGCAATTCCACAAGTAGATGAATATTTTCCAAGAAGACAATATAGGCTATCTTTCTATGTATCTATCTAATCTTCTATCTGTTTATATTTGTTTATTCAGAATGGCATTGAAGGCAAGTGCAACACAACATACTTCCTGAGAAATTCAGAGAAAAATGATGAGTTTCTAGTAACCAAGTCAAAGGATTTAACTGACTGTGATGACATGGTTTTAAAGGTTGTTGGTGCTGCATATGCAATCCCATGCAAGTCCTGCCAGCAGGTCAGTGAATGTGTATAATCTAAAGCATAAATCACAGATATAAACATATTATTATGCTCTGTATGTAATTACTAGAGGTATGCAAAAATCCAGACACGGCTTATAAGTCGTAAGTGATTTGGTAAATCCATATTTACGACCCGAGTTACAAAGCCAGTATCGCATGGCCTCCACACACCAACAAATGAAGGAATGAAGACGTTTGTTACTTTTTGTAAGTTGCAGTGAGTCAGCTTCTTCTTCAGTGTAAGCAAACTCTACTGGGTGGGTGCAGCCAAAGAGGTATGCCGCATGCTCTCCTCAGCCTATCAGGGCTGGAGAGAGGAGAAGGGAGGAGGTGCTCCTGGCATTTCCTTTAAATACAGGAGCCATGTTGTCTCTGTCACCATTGCGAGTGAGCTGGTGGGTAGCTGGCGATCTAGGGTAGCAAGTGACTCAGTAGCAAGCAACTCGCTAAGCAGCTGAATTTTTTTCTTGCGCCATGCAAGATTAACTTAGTTTGCATCATCTTAGGATTTATTTTAGGATCACTACAGCTGAGTTTAGGGTCCTTTTAAGATCCTTTTTCTTTGCATATTGGGTTTTTTCCATTTAGGAATTGTTTTGGGAGGGTTTCCATTTTTTTCCCTTTGGATTTCTTTAATTTAAAATTCTAAAAACTGCTTTATTTTTAAAAAATCTATTTTAAATCTAGTCTTATCTTCTTACTTTACTCTCTATTGGTTTTTAAAGTATAATTCAATTCAGTGCAAAGTGCTATGTGTTAGTACTTTAATCTTTTCTGAAATCCCAAGTTGCCAGAGGAGTGCTGCCATTTCTGTTGATTCGGTGCCAATATTAATACAAACAACAAACAAAGCTAATTTTAAAGTCAAGTGAGCAGAAGAATTCTAGTCTAGTACCAAAAGTATAATTCAATTCTGCGAAGTGCTGTGTGTGTGTGTGCTTTAATAAATCCCAAGGGTTGAGAATTTTTTTAAAGAAATGTTGTTTGTAAAAACTTCAATTTTTTTTTAATCAGTGGATGAGCAGGAGCAGGAGCGGTGGCGCAGTGGGTTAAACCCCTGTGCCGGCAGGACTGAAGACCGACAGGTTGCAGGTTCAAATCTGGGGAGAGGTGGATGAGCTCCCTCTATCAGCTCCATCTCCTCATGCGGGGACATGAGAGAAGCCTCCCACAAGGATGATAAAAACATCAAATCATCCAGGTGTCCCCTGGACAATGTCCTTGCAGATGGTCAATTCTCTCACACCAGAAGCGACTTGCAGTTTCTCAGGTCACTCCTGATATGCAAAAAAAAAAGTGGATGAGCAGAACATTCTGAAACCTGGAGTGGGTGGATTACAGTAGTAAATGTGTGTCACAATTGTAGCAAGTTTCATCCTGATAGCCCTAAAAGGGAGGGAGGGAGAAAGGAGCCCCAAAGTGTCTTCATTGGCACAGATGGGAGAATAACAAAATGAAAAACAAAATTTTCAGAACTTCAGAAAACAGGGTCACCCAAATTCTATAAATACAAATAAAGTGGATATTAGGCATCATGCACACCTCTAATAATGACACGAATAATGTCTCAAAGTACTGGCAATTCATTTATGGCACTCACTGTACTGTTCAGGTAATTTTTTGATAACATTTTTTAAAAAATGGAAGTGGAGGAGATGACAGTGATGTGGACAAAAATTATAGTTTTCATATGGTTTATCCCACTTAGGCTGCCATGTAGTATATATTTCCATATTTGTGACAGCTTTGGAGTTAGATGATCTCATGTCCAGTTTGGATCCAGTTTGGCTGACTGCATCCCCTTGAATGAACCTGCCCAGGCCCTGAGATTTTCAGGAGAGGCCTTTATCTCGGTCCCACCTCCATCTCAAGCTCAGTTGGTGGAAATGAGAGAGACAAGTTTTTGGTGGCTGTCCCACAACTCTGGAACTCCCTGCCCAGGGAAGCCAGAATGGCACCCACCCTGCTGTCCTTCCAGCAGCAGGCTAAAACCCTTTTTATTCAGGCAGCATTTTAAAGATGATGGTTTTTAAGATCATGTCAGGGACTGCTGTAGTTTTGTATGGTTTTATGGATTTTATCTGAATTGTTTTTAATACTAATGATGTTTAAGGCTGTTTTAATATTTGTATTTTTTTAATTGTATGCCTCTGCTTGTATTATTATTATTATTATTATTATTATTATTATTATTATTATTATTATTATTTGAAATACAACAAGATGAGTCCACAGCAGACAAGATTACTCTGCTGGCTGTTGTATTGGATCACACGTCAGACACTTCCCAAGTGTCTAGGACTATGTGATGTATCGGCAAATTATGCGTGCAGATCCCAGTAAGGTGGCCTTCTGCATCTGGCAGATGGTAATTTTGTCAGCGCCTATTGTGTTTAAGTGCAGACCAAGGTCTTTAGGCACTGCACCCAGCAGGCCCATAGCCAGGATTTCGATTTGGGGGGGGCTAAGTTTGTTTCGGGGGGGGGCTGAGCCTGAGTGAAAGAGGGTCTACCCTAGCAAACCTTTTGTATCGTTACCCCAATACCCCCATGCATATGGGATATATTGAGCATGGTGATCAGATCATGATATGAATAAATATAACAGTTTAAATAATGCACCGGTAAGGCCTTTTCGCGAACCACCATGAGAACCACCCGGCTACATGCCTGGCACCCAGTATGCTGATCACCACTGGGACCATCTTTACTGACTTGTGTCAAAGTCTTTGCAGTTCGATCTTTAAATCCTCATATCATGTCAGCTTTTCCAGTTTTTTTTTCTCTTCAATCCTTACTATTATTATTATTATTATTATTATTATTATTATTATTATTTAGCTGTGACTCAAGGTGGTATATAGAAGTAGATGCACCAATAGCTGAACTTAACATAAAGCATTTTTCCCTCTTCTCTTTCTTGATAGCGCATTGCCAAAGTGAAAAAAGAACTTTAAAGAGAGCAGGCTGTTTTGTCACTTGGGGAATAGAAAACTTCTCAAAGACCAGGACTGAAACCGTGGTGTACACAATCCTATGTTACTAATAGAATTACTGTATCCAACTAGATTGTATCAGTGCTTAATTCTAGACCTCTTAGGAGTATATCAACATGATAATAAAATACTTTTCTATTACTTTTGTTTGTAAAGAGAAACAAGAATTTCCAAGCTGCTTCTACATACAACTACACATTTAAGGATATGCAGAATGGACAGAGGCTGCTTCTGGAAGCCAATAGCCTTGAAATACGTCAGTTCAGCCCATTCAATGAGTTAAATGGAGGAATTGCCTTAATGGAAGCCAGGTACACACCATTGTATCAGCACTAAAATGTTGAAAATTGAGTTACTGTATCACTAGTTCAGCATTCTAAATAAACTAGTCAAATGCCCTGAGACTAACCTTCAATATTTACTGTGTCCTGTTTATTCTAGAATGTCATGGATTGCTATAAATCTGAAACAGGTGGAGAAATAACCAAACCATTTTAAGGAGAAGTTGCCAATTTCTGATTCGTTTCTTTCAAATGGATAGTATTCAAAATACAGCTTTAAAGCCAACACAAATATACATTCATATGAAAACCAAATATTGTTATACTAGCAGTAAAATAATTTGAAACATGACAATATCCTGATGAGTAGGATTTGGGAAATAATAATGAATGGATCTTTTGGGGCCAAAATACATGTGACATTAGTCATATGTTTAAACAAGAGTGCATATGACATGCTAGGTAAACATTCACAAGGTAGAGCATGTGATCTCTAAACAGAACAGCGACCCTTGCCAGTTTTCTCAGCAAGTTTCACCATATTTCATTTCTTTCTACACATAAAGTTTAGGTGACTAGCTTGCATAAATTCATCCATGAATCAGGAACTTAATTGCAATTATATGGATATCTACAGAGTTAAAATCTGATCTATATATGGATCTGAATTCTGATGGTCAACCTCAACACAAAGGAAAGCCACTGTTATCAGTGAAAGCAACACACAAGTAAATACCATGGATTCAATAAATCAGACTAACCAATAGAATTCATGGCTTTAGATAAACTTCTATAAATGTCATACATATGTGATTGTACCTTTTGGCCATTCTGCAACAATTATGTGTAATTTGTGTTAATCTAAGCAGAGTTCCACAAATTCAGCTATTCCAGTGAGAAATAGACCAAAATGTTAATTCACCATTCAATGATCAATCCACGAGGACACTATTTGCAATTACCCAACATGATTTGATCCATTCATTGTACATTTTATTGAATAATGTATAATTGTTTGTCATTGTCTTTATTCCATGTGTTTTCTCCATTGCAAAATGAGAGGGACACTTGGGGCCCTTCCACACAGCCATACAACCCAGAATATCAAGGCAGATAACCCACAATATCTGCTTTGAACTGGAATATCTGAGTCCACACTGCCATATAATCCAGTTCAATGTGGATTTTATACATCTGTGTGAAAAGACCCCTGAACATACACAGAAAGTGCTATAGTTAACCATGATTGCAAAACCTAGAGGTAGAAACATTTTCCATACAATACTGTGTTTGTTTTAAATTTCATTCATTTTTTCATCTACAGCCAGAAAATTGTATTCACTGGTTCCCAGGAACGCGTGCCCGTTATGCCTTCTGACTTGAAGAAATTTGGGTCACTTGCATACAATTTTAAAGGTGAACTCCCTGCACTTCCTATTCAGTTACCGAAAATCAAAAATCGAGAAAAAGAGGTAACACCAAGATTCAACTATAGACACTATGCCAAGGTTCTTTACCCAAGACCTGAAAGAGTATTTGACAGGCTTCTTCTTTCTTTCTATTAACAGATTGAGGATGTATTACAATATTTGGCAGGCCACTCAAATGAGAAGTTTCCAGTTGACGGTCCAATAAAATTCTTAGAGCTTGTACAACTTTTCCGCACAGCAGATGACATTGATTATTTTGATACATTCTTTAAACGATACTCTAGCCAGGCAGCGTACAGGTAAGAGAATATAGGATGTGTTTTTACAATTGGAAAAACATAGCTGAATGGTATAAACTAGTTATCAGAGTGTGGATGTGACGGCTGCTTCTTTACCTACAGGAGGGTAATCCTGGATTTAATTCCTGCTGTTGGCAATCCAGTTGCAATTAGATTCCTAAGGAATAAAATGGAACATGGAGAACTGACCAATTTTGAAATATCACACACACTGCTTGTGTTCTTCCATTTCTGCAATGCTTCTCAAGAAGTATTAGATGAAGCAATGGTAAAGTGCATTGAAATCTCTTATTTGACATGACTAAAACTGATTTTTTTAAATAATAATAAAAAAAAGTAAAACACGTGTAGCAGGATTTCAGAATCTGACAGCAAGTATAGTCAAAGAGTTAAAAATATAACTGTCTATCCTTGGTGGGGATAGGAAAATTATGTCCCAAGGCTATCTCTACAGAGATCCTTGAAGCCCTTAGATCCCTCCCCTCTAATGCTTTTCCTTACAGTGCTTACCATTTTAGATGCTAAACAGCATAACAGTTATGGATGTCTCTCCATAAGTGCTGAGTCCAGTCTGAAATGCTTTTTCCGCTGAGTTTATTGAGAGTTGATTGTTTATTGCTTATTGATTTGTATTGTATTGATTGTTTTATTTGATGTTTTGTTTATTGATGTATTGTGGGCTTGGCCTCATGTAAGCCGCACCGAGTCCCTTGGGGAGATGGTAGCGGGGTACAAATAAAGATTATTATTATTATTATTATTATTATTATTATTATTATTATTATTATTATTAACCCTGCGCAAAATGTTTGCTTTGAATTTGTTTCTTCCTTTTGATGATTAATTGCAGCAACAACTGACTTTTCCTTCCACAGATCATTGTGACAGATGTTCTTAAAGGCCCCGAAAGTGCCTATCGCAGAGTTATCACCCTTGGCTATGGATCATTACTTAACAGATACTGCTCGACCTCAGATGTGTGCCCTGACAAGTATCTCAAGGTATAGGTCTGGATTTTCATTACATGCCATAATAATGCAAGAGGAACATTAAATAAAATGAAAGTGGGAGAAGAAAAATATTTTAACACCCTCCTCCTTCTTCTTCTTCTTCCCATCATCATCATCATCATCATCATCATCCATCAATCATCCCACCTTTCTCCCAAAACTGGGGATCACAATAGCATTGTCGTTGTGTGTCTTCAAGTCCTTTCTGATTTTAGGACCCTTCCACACAGCCATATAACCCAGAATATCAAGGCAAAATAACCCACAGTATCTGCTTTGAACGATCTGAGTCAACACTGCCATATATTCCAGTTCAGAGCAGATATTGTGGGGTTTTATTCAGCTGTATGGAAGGGTTTTACAGAGCCAAAAGTAAACTTATCATGAGGTTTTTCAGAAAGGGTTTGCCTTTGCCTTCCTCTGAACCTGAGGGATTATAACTTGTTCAAGGCCAGCCAGTGAATTTCAAGGGCGTAGTGGGGATTAAAACCCTGGTCAAAAGAGTTTTTAAAAAGAAACAATATAGTTAACAATGTAGAAAAGTGAGTATTAAAAACTATCCACAATATGAAAAATATCAAAATTGCACTGAAAAAGTATTTCAGTTTTAAATGGCACAGCACTCTGTCATTTTTTTAATAGCCTTCTATTTTCAAAGCTTATCAGAGTAAAAAAGGTTTTTAGCTTACTGACAAAAGAACAGCAAGGAGTGGGTCGTTCTAACTACTCTAGGAAATGCACCCCAGAACCTAGAGGTGTGTCTCCATCAATCCTGTTGTGATGGTAGTGGGTCAGAGAGGGGAAACTTTCAAGATGATCTCAGGGTCTGGCAGGCTCATACAGGTAAATACTGTTTGTCAGACACCATGAACTTGGTGTATTTGAAAAATTTTCAGGATACCAAACACTGAAGGTTTATTAAAGCAATCATATATCATTTCTGACAAGTATTTGTACTTAATATTCTTAGAAGATCTTTTAACTTAACATTTTTCAGTATCACCGAAAGGATATATCCATTAATCTGTGGGCATATATAGTATAAAACATTGCCTAACAGGGAAACATTTATCAAAAGCATATAGCAAATCAACATCCCTGTCAGCACATCCGATGGTTATAATTTTATTTTATATCAATTTCTTCAAATTATGTGGAATATAAGATGCTATTGCACATTGACATTCGAAATAGGACGACAACCAACACTAAATCTTTCCCATAAGTTCTTTTCAACATTTCTAAAAATATTACATCTCATGTTTCCTGAATAAGCTGTATTCAAGGTATAGATCTGGATTTCCATGACATGCCATCATAATGCAAGTGGAATATTAAATAAAACAAAACAAAACAAGATAAAATCTCCCAACTGATGATACAGGAGACATGGTGGAACTGTCTTCCTGGCTCCCCTTCTTCTCTCTTAGTCCCCTTTGGGGTGAGAAGGGTGGGATATAAATGTCGCAAATACATAAATAAATAAATAATATTCCCTCAAAATATATTCACATTTGCTTGATTTAAAGGAAAGAGAATGGCATCTGGGGTGTTGGTGACTGTCCATCCAAACGATGCATCTTGAAAATAGATTAGCACATCACATTGCATAAATCATGGCAGGAGGTTAAACTACATCATGGCCCTTGTTGCACCTTCCAACTAAATTATTGTATGATTTTTCATCATTATCAGACAGCAAAAGTAACTTCCTTGTATGGAATTGCATTTGACATTTGACTTTCATTTTTTTTATTTAATATCCCACTTTTCTATCAAAAAGGTACTTTCCTTAAAAGACATACATCATAGTAGTCTGAAAGACTACATCATATTAACTAACTTAACAATCTGCAATTATGAATGTATGATTAGCAAAGCATAGCAACTGAACAGAATGAATGGGAAATTGATTCTGATGGATAGACTCAAGAAAGCTTTGAACCTAAACTTGCAAATCTTAGACAGGACTGTTGATGATAAGGTAACTTGGGCATCTCTCACTCATACTTTTACCATAAGTTGAAATGAATTTGAATGCACTTAACAGCAAAGTAGACAAATTCATAATCATGAGTTTGGGTCTTTATGTGTGGTGCTTCTTCCATAACAAATCTCCTTATTGATATGTGCTCATCTTTCTAGATTTCTGCCATACTGCTTCCACAGCTCATTCCACTTTTATCCACTTCTTTTTTATAGCCCCTGACTGATTTTGCAACAAAAGCAGCAGAATCATCTGATATAGAAGGAATAGTTCTCGCTCTTAAATTCTATGGAAATGTGGGCCATCCAGCTGCCTTGAAGCCAATTATGAAATTCATCCCAAATTCTGCATCTTTTATTGATGTTAGAATTCCTACAAATGCAATAATGGCTCTAAGAAATATTGGCAGCAGAGACCCAGTACGGGTAAGTTGGGAATAATTGAAGAACATCATTATATGTACTTATTAGTTACACTTGGTCTAACCCACAATTATTGTCTAACCCTTAATTATTTGTCCTCTGAAAACATTAGAGAGGGATAACAAGAAAATGCATCTAGTCAAAGCTAAACATAAGTTTGTTTTGCACCTCCTGAATCAAAATAAGAGGACCAACACTCAATTGTACTCCGATATTCACATTCTACCAATTTTCTAGTCAAATTATCCCAACAAACATTCATAAAGAAACTCACACTTCAAAGGAAGGTGCACACAAAAAACTGTGTCTATTAGTGTAGTGAGAAAGATTATGCTGGGGAAAATCACTTGCCAAAATATGTCTGTGTCTGTGTGTGTGTGTGTGCACGAAAATAGAGAGGGAGAGAGAAAATTAATATACAAAAGTATGTATCTTAGAAAAGAAATACCCACAGTAAAGAGACACTCATAAGAAGCTGTTAGCTGAAATAATAGATATTATTTTCAAAAATAAATAGAAAATAGGGGAAATTGCTTGGAGAAAAATGGTATTTAAGAAAAGAAGTGTACAAGATGTATATGTTAGAAAGACTGTGTATAATCATGTGAACACTGAGAAGTGTGCATGAAAAGGAGTATCCATTTCCAAACTAACTTTTAAAAATGCAATTTGATATGGACCAAAATGAAGTGAAAAACTGGAGGAAGTTTAAGCAGAACTTAAACTGACAGATTCACACGTCTCTAGCATGAACAGCCTCATGAGGGTTTAACAGGGAGAAGCACAAGATATTCTTGTATCCCCATTTTGATACTTTAGATGTGATGATCAGTGTAGAAATTTCTGCAGTTAGAATCACATATATCTTACAGTGAGGAAATATATAATGCAACTTTGGATATTTGCTCTATGGTTGTGTGTGTGTGTGTGTGTGTGTGAGAGAGAGAGAGAGAGAGAGAGAGGGAGATCCTGATCCTGATCCCTTTTCTGGCAATTTCCTATTAAGAATCTAATAGCAAAAGAGACAGAGCTAAGGTCTTACATTGTAATGTACAGGAGCGCTTGCAAAGAGGCAAAGGAGGGCCTAGATCCTTGCTTAATAGGCTGTATTGAAAGGGCTTTTGAATGGAAAAAAATAGAAGAAAATGGATCTTTCTCATCTGTTTTACCTAGATCCAGGGAATTGCTCTTCAAATAATCCTGAACTACAAGGTTAATGCTGAATTCCGAGTTCTTGCTTCCATGGTCTTGATTGAATCCAAACCAACCCTTCCTTTGTTGATGACCTTGGCTAATTCTATGTTGAACGAACCCAGCATGCAGGTGGAAAATTTTGTCTACACTCATCTGAGTGCAATGGCCAAATTTAAATCTCCTAATTTTCACGAGATGTAAGTTATATAAGAATTTTGATTTGCTTTCAAATGAATGACATTCAATAAGCACAATAATGTATTGTGCATTTTTTTAGGGCTTCTGCCAGCAGAGTGGCTCTCAAAGTACTTGGCAGGAAAATCCAACAGTCAGCAGGTTATCGATTTAGCCGAGTATTCATCTTGGGCACTTTCAGAGGTAAAAAATTGTGGGTTTTTTTCCATCCAGTGTTTATTCCTTCCACTGCTACAGTGTCTTAAAACTAAAAGGAATGTCATGAGTTAAAAAATAAAAAAAAAAATTTGCTTAAAGATATTAAAAATGCATCTGTTACCCATGTATAATTTAACAGCTTAGTACCACAAAGGTCCCATTATTTTAAAAGGCTACTGGAATCCACCTAAGAATTAAGTGTAATGAAGTACTAAAACATAATCTCTGTGTTAAAAGAGAGTGGGGAATCTCATATCTTACAGATGGAAGGAAGGCACACATTGTCCTCTCAAATCTCTATTCTCTTTACTATTCTAAACACTTAATTATGCTTGTTAATTCTTTAAACATGTATTGCTTGTGCCAGGCACAACAAATCAGTAGCAAAGTTTATATATTTAGTACTTTACTTTGTCCTCTAACCAAAGTTGACCTAATAAAAAATGGATGGGGGTGGGGTGAAAGGATCACCAAAAAACATTTATAGAATCTCCCTTAAGAACATAGAACAAGATAAAGGACTTTCAGAAGCCTATTTTTAAAAAAATCAATTTCAAAGATTTCAAAGCCACTTTTAGAATAAACTATCCCATGGTACTATAGTACTACATAAACCATAAAATATGAAATGAGACCAATAATGAAGAGAAGAGCAATAATTTATGTCTGCTGAAACAGTTGAATGCTGCCCCAGGTCTCCCTCAAAGTTTGAGAAGGATGGGATACAAATGCTCAAAATAAATAAATAAATAAGTATTTTCAGCTGCATTGTGAAATAATACATTGTCTGATCCCTGCCTTGAGTGTGGATATGATATTTGTTTTTATGTTTTTGCTCTGCTGTTAGTTATATGCCTAAGGAGCAGAATTCAAAACGATCTTGACAGATTAGAGAGATGGGCCAAAACTAACAAAATGAAGTTCAACAGTGACAAATGCAAGATACTCCACTTTGGCAGAAAAAATGAAATGCAAAGATACAAAATGGGGGACGCCTGGCTCGAGAGCAGTACGTGTGAAAAAGATCTTGGAGTCCTCGTGGACAACAAGTTAAACATGAGCCAACAATGTGATGTGGCGGCAAAAAAAAGCCAATGGGATTTTGGCCTGAATCAATAGGAGCATAGTGTCTAGATCTAAGGAAGTAATGCTATCCCTCTATTCTGCTTTGGTTAGACCACATCTGGAATATTGTGTCCAATTCTGGGCACCACAATTCAAGAGAGATATTGACAAGCTGGAATGTGTCCAGAGGAGGGCGACTAAAATGATCAAGGGTCTGGAGAACAAGCCCTATGAGGAGCGGCTTAGGAAACTGGGCATGTTTAGCCTGAAGAAGAGAAGGCTGAGAGGAGATATGATAGCCATGTATAAATATGTGAGAGGAAGCCACAGGGAGGAGGGGGCAAGCTTGTTTTCTGCTTCCTTGGAGACTAGGACGCGGAACAATGGCTTCAAACTACAAGAGAGGAGATTCCATCTGAACATGAGGAAGAACTTCCTGACTGTGAGAGCCGTTCAGCAGTGGAACTCTCTGCCCCGGAGTGTGGTGGAGGCTCATTCTTTGGAAGCTTTTAAACAGAGGCTGGATGGCCATCTGTCAGGGGTGATTTGAATGCAATATTCCTGCTTCTTGGCAGGGGGTTGGACTGGATGGCCCATGAGGTCTCTTCCAACTCTTTGATTCTATGATTCTATGATTCTAAGTTATCTACAGACTGGAATATTTTCCACACTTATAGGCACTTACTTTATAATGAATTGTTACTGAACAATTAGCACCATTTCATTTGGCATTCCAACATTTATTATCAGACATGTTTATCTGCTTAAGAGTAATGGGAGACACCAATCTAAGCTTCCCCTCTGTACTGAGAATATTAGTCTTCAGGATTCCATAACATTGAGCCATGACAGTTAAAGTGGTGTCAAACTGCACTAATTCTTCAATGTAGATGCTTTAACAGTAGACAATTTTTGTTATACAGTTTTTTCACATACTGCTTTTATACATGGGATTTTGGGCTTTTTCATAAGATATTATGAAAGCAAATATTGAACTGAGTGTATATTTGGCAGTATGCAGAACTGGCCAAACTTGTTGTGTTTTCTTTGTCTTTGCAGAATCTCTTATGGCTGCTATGGGGGCTAAATTTGTCTTCATACATAAAGATGGGAGCATGCTTCCATTCATAGCAATAGTTGGATCCAGGATAGATTTTCTTGGCCATATCCTTTTTCCTTTGGAAGTAAGTGGACATTTGCACAATTTACCTGTGCTATGAAACAAATATATGCCCATACACGTCTTCTTTCTACTCTTTCATCTCATATTGCATTAATTACCAAGGCTAGCAATAAACAAGTCTGTCATGGTACAAAACTCTACAGACATGCTATTTTAGCTTCCTATACCTATAATGTACTATATTTTTACAAAAATATTATTTTTGCTAACTATAGATATCACATAGTTTGCCTCTTGTGTACTGTGGCTTTCTTTCCAATATTAAGAGTCGTGGTTAAATTGATGTTGATTAGAGTTGGATCTACTCTGTAGAATTAATATCAACACTTTATATGCTATGAAATCATGGAAGCTGTTGTCTTATATGGTTTTTAGCCTTTTCTGCTAAAGTTTGTTGGTGTCTCATCAAACTCCAGTTCCCATTACTCCATAGCATTGAACTGTGGTGGTTAAAGTGGTGCCGAAATGCATTAATACAAGAGTGTAAATGGAAATGGCGTGAGGCCAATGAAGGATCTGGGTTTCTCCTTCACCAGTCAGCCCTTCGCCTTCTTGGTCAGGCAGGAAAAGAGGTGAAGGGCCAACCAGTGAAGGAAAAGTCCTGCCCACTGGCTGCAGAGAAGCCCTGCCTCTGGCTAGCGAGCCATATGATGTGCCAGACCTGCTTTAAAATGTCTGAAAACTGGAGCAGATTTACTGCTTTGTCAATATGGAAACCACAAGTGATTAGAATACTAATGAACCTAGAGTGTATTAGTTTATTTCTGAAATCAATCTCACTTAAGTTTATTTAGATAATATAGTAATTCCCTAATCCCAATTTTGATTTAAAAATAGATTGTATATAACCTTTTATCCTAACAGATATTTTAAATTAAGTGCCTCTGTGTGATTCTTGAAAGCACACAGAGGTAATAAATTGCAGATATTCACTGCAATCCTGTGCACGGTATCCTGAAAGCAAGATGCAGGAAATGGTAGTGGTTTTACATCTGAGGCTGGATCTACACTGCCATATAATCTAGTTCAAAGCAGATAATCTAGATTCAGAAACTGGATTATATGGCAGTATAGGTGAGGCATACGTAAATACAGCCACGCATAGGTAAATTGGAAATGTAACTGATGAACTTGTTTAAAGATTTGTTGATGAAAATAATGAACACATCCACTGATTTCATGTATATAGAACACTGAAAACCTTTTGTGCTTTTATTTTACCTTTCAACATAGGTTGGCATTACAAATACAAAGTTATCTGATATCTTAGATAGGGTATATGGAAAGGACAAAGATGCCAAAGTACCCAGTGATCTAAGTGATCTTCTCAAACCGGTAAGTGACCAGCATATACACGCACAAAAAAACTGTAATAGGAGTTAATCATACAAATGCCATGAGAATTTAAAGGCCTGAGATAAGCTACTCCCCTATACTAGACTGCCCATTCCCTAAGATCTTTATGTGACCAAGCTTATATGGTTGAAGGCCTTCCACACAGCCATATAACCCAGAATATCAAGGCAGAAAGTCCCTCACTATCTGCTTTAAACTGGGTTATCTGAGTCCACACTGCCATATATTCCAGTTCAAAACAGATAATGTGGGGGGGGGGGGAGTTCAGCTGTGTGGAAGGGGCCTGAGTCACAAAAGAAAGTCCTAGACCTGTGGTTCCCCAGGTATTTTGACCTACAACTCCCGGAAATCCCAGCCATTTTACCAGCTGTTAGGATTTCTGGGGAGTTGATGACCAAAATATCTGAGGACCCACAGGTTGAGAATCACTGTCTTAGATTGTGGTCATATAATCTCTCCCTGATCTGGGAGGTTTCTTTGTTTCCTTTCCATGTTATTTAATACTTGGAAGCAATGGTATGGTATCAAAAAACAAATCACCTGCTAAGTTAAGAATTCTTTTGTGAATGTTCCTAAACCTACTTTTTTAAAACCTGTTTTCCTGTTGTTGTTTTGCTGGTTATTTTGATTACTTAATGTATAGTAGATTTTATTATTTTTAACAGTTTAGGATGCACAATGCCATAATCGTTAGAATTGAAATAATAAAGGAACATCCCAATAAGATTCTGCATCTTGTCATCCACAGTTCTCTGATCAGCAAATGGCTCATGGATCATTTATTGGAGAAGGATATATAAAAATGTTTGGCCAAGAAATCATGAGTGGGCCCTTCAAAACTGGCATGATCCGTGAAATACTTCAGGTGACTTTTGACATCACTGACAGATTAATGATCAAAACCTTGAACATACAGTCTTTTTTTTTTTTTGTTCTCCCTGTTGATAATTCTTTAAGGATGCAATGCAGTGTAAATTTTATCAGCAATATTTATTAACACACTGATGGCATCTTTCTGGGAGACAACCACGGCCATAAAGTGTAACATTCTAATTACCATTATTTAAATATGCCCAATCTATCATTGCAGGGATACCAAGGAAGAACACCATTTCCCTTGGCACAGGAATTTGTGGATACCCTCAAAAAACACAATACCCTAGAGTGGGACAAGAATTTGATGTCTGCAGAAATCCATCGTGCTGTGCCTACCTGTACTGGACTTCCATGGCAAATCAGCTTGGTTCATGTTTGTAACACAAAATTGGTTGGAAATGGTAAGGCAATGGAATATTAACTCCCAGGTAGTGATTCACAAGAGCTTCACAGCCGAGGTCCTGTATCAGGAGATATATCATAAAGTTCTGCCCTAATGGATTGATGTAACATCTCCCTTTCACACCCTGCACACACACACACACATAGAAAGAGAGAGAGCGTTACTGACTGGCTGGTGGGAGAACAGCATAGAAATATTAAGCAGTCTTCCTGTATTTAGATGCACATCAAAGATACCATCTTCCGGGACCTTCTAGGAGGAATATTTGGTATCTATAACAAGAAGAGTATGGCAGCTCTAGTGTAATATGAGTGTGTGATATAAATAAAATTGCTCTAGATAGTAAATAAAGAAAACATATTCTTATTGTCTCAGTAAATCCATTTTAGAGAAGGAATGGAGAAATAGATAGCAGCTATTATTGGGGTTGGAACCCCATTCCAGATAGGGGTGAGCAAAGACACTAACTTCTTGAAGAAGGTAAAGGGCTTCAGTACATATATCAAAGAAAGACACTAAGAAATGAAACAAAAACCAGAGGTTATCTGGATTCCCACCTCTCCGATCATATTATTTGCACATTGGTACTTCTAACACGAAATGGAACATAAAAAGGGGCTGAGGTGTCATTGCTGTGCACACAAGTACACTACCATAGATGGACACCTCTCTGCCACTACCTTATACTCCAGCATCCAGCAAATATAATGCGAAAAGTTAGGCCTGGAAATTAATTTGGTTGTTGAGTGGTCAGAAGAAGACTCCTAAAACGAGTAAAAAGGTGAATTGTACTAAAAGATTGGACTTACAACCACATACTGTAACTTATTAACAGCACATTTTTAAAGAGGACAGGATCTTTTCGAGAATTTAGCACCTCTTTAAAGTGGTACAGATAAGTTATTCATCATCCTTGCTACAGTGATTCAGATCACATTTTCAAAGAAAAGCCAGCATTTGAAGGATTCCTATTTTTTATTATGCAGCAATTATGGCTTTGGGGACAAATCATAGTTTGTGGGCAGTAAGAGTTCCAGAGCAACAGGATTTACCTTACTTTCAGTCAATTCTATAATTTGTCTCTAGATTCACCATCTCAAAGTAATGCAGCAACTTTTGCTGAAGGACAAAGAAGGGGGGAAAGCACCTTTAAAATGGAACATATGCCGGGTCCCTAAAGAAGCGACAAGTAGCTTATTCAAACTCTCCATTACTGTTTCCTCTGTATCTCTAAGCAAGAAACATCCTTAGATATATACTATAATAGTACTTATATACTATGCAAAGGGACCTTGTAGCAACTTAGAAACTACACTGTGGTATTACAAGATCCCTTTGCACGCTGATATTTCAGTCTAACATTATTAAGTATTTGGAGAGAGAGCGAGAGAGAGAGAGATGGGCGTTACATCTGTTTAATAATACCAACTGCAGTATATGCATTGTATCAATTATATTTACATAAAAATGCATTCACACTACAGAATCATAACACTATTATCCACTTAAATTCCCCATGTCCCCTCCTTTGGGATCCTGGGATTGGCATTTTAGTGAGAGAGCATTTAACATTTTCAGCTCCTTTGGTACCTCAGCAAACTGAAATCACAGGCTTCCATAGGATGAAACCAGCAGGAGTTAAAGTGGAATAATAACATTATTTATTGTGAACCACCTCCACCCCCAACCAATTCCATGGGGCAGCTATAACTGGGAATAACAACAGTATTTGAGCCATTGTTTAATAGGATAATACTATTTTATAGCAATGATTTCGCCTTTTTCCTTTCAAACAGTTCAGTTATCGATAACTCCTGAGCCAACATCACAATTGACTTTGCCAGACATGATTAATAGCAACTTTAAACTGAAAACCAAGCTGAATCTCAGGTAAACAAAAATACTAATACATTGTTATCAAATGCAATAGTACTGTATGTTCTGTTTTCATTAATACTTTAGTGCATAAACCTGAAAACTCAGCATACTTTTTCCAACATTTTAGCATCTTGAAAGATATGATCTTGACAATGGGAATTATAACACCTGAAATGCAGGCTGTTCTGGAAGAAAGTGATAAACTGGCAGTAAATGTCCCTTTGAATGTTGATTTTACCATGAATATTAAAGACAAGATCTTCAAAGTTGAACTTCCACCATGCAGCCAGGAAACTGACATCTTTTCTCAAAGGTAAACTGGAATTTGCTATTTTGTTTGCTAATTTCAGAATGCAAAGGGGTTTCATTAAAAAAAATAGCACTGACTTTCTTAGTTTATTATCTAAAGCTGGTGGTTGGGAAGGGTTAAATGGATATCTTATTTAAATTAAAATGGGTTTAAAGGCTCAGTAATGCATTCCTGCATATGTCTACTCTAAAGTAACACCCATTGATTTAATTTGGAATTATTCCCAGGTAAATATATAGAATGTTAAAGCCTTAACACAGATATGTTTTGTGTATGGTGCATTGCTTTTTTCATACATAATGGCATTGCACAGACTTATGGTATAATCAGGCTTCAAAATCATCTTGTAAGATTGAAACTACAGAAACAATCTCAATTCTGAAACCATATCATTAACTGTTGGTTAATAACATAAATGTACAGTGCATGGTGGTACTTAATACGAATATTTTACCCCTTTATGGCTTTAGAACAATGGTTCTCAACCTGTGAGTCCTGAGATGTTTTGGCCTTCAACTCCCAGAAATCCTAACAGCTGGTAAACTGTTGTAGGCCAAAATACCTGGGGATTCACAGGTTGAGAAACACTGCTTCAGAAGGATTGAAAGTGATGAATAAATATTCTAACCAATAGTTTGTAATGGAAGAGTGGTTTGAATTCATGCTAATTAATACTTAGAATAGTCAATGAGATTTAATACCAGAAACCAAAGAGATTTAATTAAATCACTGTAATTAAGATTATTCCCAGTATTAACTTTATGTAGCAGCCAGCTCAATCTGAACAGGTGAAAGTGTCATGATCTGTATCTTATGCCATCTGACTATCAGCCCTCCTGACACATTGCCATTAGCCAAAAGGGAAGACAGGACATATGAACCAGCTATAAAAGTCAATTGCCTCGAGGTGGGGGGAAAGTGGGCACTGGAATGTGGAAAAGGGCAGCACCAGGCACCAGGCCTTTTTTGTGATTTATGATATTGTAGCTAGGCCTATGTAGATTGGCAGTAGTGTGAGACTCTTGTATTCCAAGCATCTTGGTATATTCTTTCAAGAGAAATCTAATCCACAGCAGAACAGTTGGAGCTGAGGAACCTTACCGTTTGTTCGGAATCCCTTACTCTATCTAGCTTCTGCCTACACCAACGTGGAAGGAGGAGAGAGAAAGTAAATTAGATAAACTGACAGTCACAGACTTGCTGTTTACTAAAATGTTTAGATAAATAAAGAGGTATTCACTGGATACTGAAAACTGGGTACAACTTGCATTTCTCAGGGGATAGTTTTCCACAGAGATGGTACCACAATTACAGCTAGAAGCCCTTCAATTCCTGGCTAGGCTGATTGATAGATTTCTTGCTATTTTCTATTCAATGAGCATTCCATTAAATTATAAACTCAAATAATCTTTTCAACACCATACACACACAGCCTGGAAGGACCCACTCCACTCCTCATGTGGTCCAATTTGGTGTTGGCAGGGTTTGGGATACTGTGCAACTCAGCAGCAGATTTCCACTTCTACACCATTTTATATTGTTTGATTAATTGATGACTGCATCATTAAATCAGTAATGATTCCTCTAATTGGATGACTGCTCTGATTAGAAATTATATTGTCTCTGCAGAGTTTTACATAAACTTCAGTGCCATAGTGTGTGTTAATGCAGGATATTTTAACACCTTGCCAAACAACAGATCTTTTTTTGAAATATTTGAAGAGCTAACAAAGAAACACTTAAAATCATATTTTTCTTCATAACCTCAAGAAGAAAAATGAGCTCATACATAAGCCTTTTGGAAAACTAAACTCAAGAGATTAAAGCAGGAATATGGAAAGCTGCCTAAAATATACTATCCAAAATACATCATGTGTGGCAAGCTGTTGAAAAATATCCCTTTAGTATTGTTCATTTTTCAATTTTTGAGAATATTTATGAACAGGTCCAATAAAATAATTCACATATGTAACCTGTTTATGTGATTGATAACAAATATGATTAATTTAGTAACCCATCAGTATTTATGCCTCCCATGCAGATTAGCATTCATTTCTATATAACACCTGGGATCCCCAGTGACATATAGTAAAATCCCATATAGGGTAAACTCATTGAATCAATTGTTGAATGGTATGTCAACCCATATGTGACTACTACTCTGCTGGGAACAAACTCAAATTTATTCCATAAACGTATGCCACATACATAATGTGGCCAATATGATCCCGTTTCTTTACAAACTATGGTACCATTTTTTCTATATCATTCTCAATCATGAAATAAACAATTCCAGGGGAGACAGCTTTTTGGATTTTTTTTCTGTTTTGTAATTCATATACTTTTTGCTGATGCTAAAGGATGGCATCATTGCATGTTGCTCCTTTATCCACAAAAGTTCTGACTATTCTTATTCTGTAGAGTGGTTAGATCTTCTGACTATTTGCTATGATGTCATCTTCTATTTATGGTGACCCTTTGAATTAGAGTCATCCAAGAGCCCCATTCTTCATCAGTCCTACTTAGTGCTTGCAAACTTGGGGCTGTGACTTCCTTGATTGAGTAGATCCAGCTGTTTTCTTCCCCTCTGTTTCTAGAGCCTAAAATATATACAAAGAATATATTTTATCAAAGATGGCACCTATCACAGTTTATATCAGAAAGCCATTTCAATAAATGAACAAGACTTGCTTTTTAAAAACACTGCAACTGAATATTGCATCTTACCTGTAGAAGATTTTGCTAATATTGAGAAACAAGCTATTTCTCTTATTCTGGAAACCTGCCATTCTTCCATTTTTTATTTTCCCCTTGAGCAAGGATAAGAGAAAGCAGAAACCTTCATACTCTACCTTTAGGCCTTCCTTGTGTGTTTTTCCCCTTCTTGTTGTTAAAACTTATTTCTTGTGGTTCTGCAGGTAGTGACATATGTCATTTGTAATGCAACTGAATTTGCTGGCTCTCCATGCTTAATGAGACCCATCAACCACTTTTATTAAGTAGCAAAAGAAGAGTGGCTTAAAACAATAAAAAGTATTGCAGGAAGACAGTGCAGGGAGGCGAAGATGCCAATGATTTCTGCTCAGAGAAATACCTTGCGATTTGGTGATGATTTAAATTATTGAATATGAATAAAGTGAAAGCCACTTCTTTTTAATCTATTCTGCCTGGATAAGCCATCATAAAATGCAAGTTGATTTGTAATTTCTTTCATCCCCTCAGCTTGTCTGAAAAAAATATTTTGGTTCATTTTTTTTATTCCTGAAGTTTCTAGCTGAGCTTAATGTGAAATGTGCCTAGCATGCCCTTTATCAGGAACAGAGAGTTTAGAAAGAAAACAAAGCCCTCAGGTGATAACACATTATTTATTTATTTTTATTTGACTGAGATGCTTTGTATGAAGTACAAGCACATGTTTTCTATGATACCCTCACCACTACAGGTACTGACACAAGGAAAAGAGAGAAAGATAAAAGGAATGCAAATTGAGCTTTCAAATGGAGTAGATTATGTGTTCTTAGGTTTCTTTCTTTACCAACATGGGAACACCAATCATCTCCTGTTCACAGCCAGACAGGTCACCCAGCCCAACATGTTCCCCCAACCACCCTGAGGCAACAACATCAATAGTTTGCTTGGATACTGAATGTGTATCTATCTCTGCATGCCCACTTAGTGTCTTTTAAAGCAACTGATCAACCAAAAATTGCGGGAGGGGGGGGATGGAATTAAGGCCCGTATTGCCTTAATTCTTGGACTACAAGAATTTCAGAGATCACACCTTATTAACTGCTGTTAGATACATGGATTGCTCATGGACATCAATCCTCATGTAAATAATATTTTATGAGAAATAATATTTTATGAGTAAAGGCACATGGAATAGGATTATAACATAGTGTTATATGGAAAGCAGTCATTTTTTGTCTTGTTTTGCTGAATGGAACTGCATTGCAAACGTTAGATAATTGGCTAAACGTTATGAAAATGTAGTACAGTTGGCCCTCCATATTAGCATATTTGACTTTGGAAGATTCAATTAAAATGTGCCATCCTGAAGAAACTAGATATTTCTAGAGATACGTTCTCTCATATAAAAAAGAGTTAATTTATTAAAGAGTTATTTGTGGTTTTTCACTTTTGTGGGGATCGTATACAGCTAATCCCAGCAAATGTGGGGAGCTGACTATATTAGCTCTTCACATCGGCACCCAATGATTTACTTCAGTGTTGAGCCACGAGAGAGCAACTTCCCCAAATTTTCTGTGTATAGGGATTGTGATTTGAACTTTGGGTTTTGACACTAAGGACCTCGTCCCATGCATTCTGGGCTCCATTTGCATGAGCCTTGAAAACAGAGTCCTACAGAGGCAATCACATGATGTAAGGGCACTTCCAGTGAGACTCTGTGGGACTCTGTTTCCACAGCACATGGAAACAAAGTCCAGAATTTGTCTTCAGGAGTTGGATACTACCCAACTCCAAAATGAGGAAAACAGGAGAAAGTGAGGAAAGACAGGGAAAGGACAGGGGTTGGTTGCCCATCCCAGAAGATGGACCTCAACAATAGGAAACAAAGTAAGACAAATCCCTTTGCTTTCCTCCACAATATTCATATACACCAGAAGTATCAGCATTTCACATTGTAGTTTTAATTTCAATTGGATGAAGTTTTCCTTCTTTCAAATAATAATAGTATGAGCAGCTTGCTCAAGTGGAGAACAGATAAGCCCATCTCATAACTACCCACCACTTTACTCCCCATTTTAAAAACTCTTCTAAATGAATGCTGTCTATGGAAGATTCATCAGAATAACCACTACTGGCATTTAGAACTATTCAGTCGGAGGAGGGGGAAGAGAGAGAAAGTGATAAAACTGAAGTGGGTGAAAACATACCCTTGATTTTAACAGTAACTTGAATATTGCTAGATCATACCACTTTTCAGCTGAAAACTGGAACCATTATCCCATATTTTTTGCTTTTCCTTAAAATATGACGAGCCATATCTACACATTCAATTTGCAAGGTAATTTGCAATGAACAGCCATTTGGTAGCGAGTCCATATTGCAATACATAACTCAGATCTTTTTAACATATTTGTGTTCTGGCACATTATTTCACTTTCTCTTTATCTTGTAGGCTTAAGACATCTGCTGTCACTCGCAATATTGAAGAGGCACCTGCTAGTAAGTCAACTCCTGTGCTTCTCCCTGAGACGATGTCTAACATAATAAAGCAGTCTTTTGATTCTTCTTCAGTTGAACAGGATAGAAGAAAGGTAATCCATATTGGATTTTTAGATGCACAGTTTTTTTGTCTTGAAAACAGTATATAGAAAAGAAATGGTGTGAATTGTTGCATTATTTTTTTCACATAATAGTAAAATGGGTCTATAGCGCATTATAGTTATAATGTCTTGGAACCAGGACTTAGTAGTCAGCAAGCACTCTAGTTGCCAGACAGCATTTCTATTAAGCATTGATAAATTTCCAGAAACATCAGAGTCTATTACTATTGGTATTGTTGGACAATTTAACAGTTAGAATTGGAAGTACTATGTGGAAAGCTCATACTCTATTGATACATGAAGAAATACAATGACAGTTTGCCATGGTGAGTAAAATGCGATTGAACTAAATTTGTGGTTCTTATTGCTGTTGTTGAGTGTGCCTTCAAGTTATTTTCAACTTACATCAACCCACAAAGGGTTTTTTGACAACTTTTGTTCAGAAGAGGTTTGCCGTTGCCATCCTCTGAGAATAAGATAATGTAAATTGTCCTAGTGGATGTCCATGGCGGATTTGAACTTCTGTCTCCTAGGATCCTTGTGCAATACTCAAACAGGTACATCATGTTGGCTCCGGCTAAATTCAGCCAGGACATCCTATTGAGTTGTTTCTAGACTCTAGGTTTAGAGTAGACCCACTGGAATCATGATTAATTTGTTTCATTGCTTTCAGTGGATCTCCTTCAAGCATTGTGAAATCTGGATCCAATCCACTGATTGTAACAGCTTTGGAGTATAGGTTTGAGATGTGGAGTATAGGTTTGAGTATAGGTTTGAGATTCAACAGTAACACTGAAGCAATTTAAAACTGCTCAAGTATATCTGATTTGAAGAGGATTTGCACAAGAAGGCAGTTGATGTCTCCTTCTGCAACGTTCACCAGAGCACATGCACTGATGTAACCACTAACCAGGGGTCATGATTTCATATATAATGAACGGAATTCTAGCTATAGGAAGATGCTTTATAGTAAATCAGATCGGTAGTTCATTTCACCCCAGTCTTATCCATTCTGGCTGCCATAGTCTCACTGGTCATTCAGTCTGGATAGTTTCCTAGCCCACCAGGCACTTTCTAGCAGTCTTGATAGTCTCCCAACTAAGTTAGGCAGATTTCCTAGCCTGCCTCCCCTGCCTCTTCTCTCTCTCCCCACCCCCTCCTTCCAATTCAGCTTTACCAGGCAGCACTAGCAACCACTGGCAGTGATAGAGGTCTGTTCAAGCAAGGTTCAGCAGACTGGTGTTTCCAGTCCTTGCCTGCCAGCCAGGCATGTAGCCGGGGGGGGGGGCCTCGGGGGGCTTGAGCCCCCCCAAATTCTCAGGGTGGTCCGCGAAAAGGCCTTATGGTGCATTATTTAAACTGTTATGTTTATTCATATCATGATCTGATCACCATACTCAATATATCCCATATGCATGGGGGTATTGGGGTAATGATACAAAAGGTTTGCTAGGGTAGACCCTCTTTCACTCAGACTCAGCCCCCCCCCGAAACCACCCCCCAACCCCCCAGAAAAAAATTCAGCCCCCCCCCCCCGAAATGAAATCCTGGCTACGGGCCTCCTGCCAGCAATATGTAGTGTCTCCAATTGTTGCATTAGCAATCACTGAAGAGATTGGGGTGGGAAAAGCAGTGTTATAATCCTTTAACTTGCAATGGTTGCTGTCTGGTAAAAGACTTTTATGATTGGAGCAATAGTGTCATTATCATGAATATGTGGGAACTGTGAATACGGATCAGATATGGATATGTAAGTCTAGATCAGTAGTTCTCAACCTTTGATACTCCAGTTATTTAGGACTTCATCCGTGTTTAAAAAACACGGATGTTCCTGGGGTCAAAAGACCCCAAAAAGTCCTGGGGGTCTTTTGAGGAGGGGATTGGTATTCCCACAGGTTGTGGTTTTTGGGGGGGGGGTGGACTAATTTAGCCTGGAAAGCCGTGGGAATGCTATCTGGACTGCAGACTAGACACCAGAAGGCTTCTAAGAAAGTGCAGAATAAACCCACTATCAAATTAATTCATCACAAACCAGGGTTTTCCTGGTTTGTGGCGGATTAATTCAACTTTGTCCAGAACATCGTCTGGATAGCCCTCTTTTTATTACGGAAGTTTCTGTAATAAGGAGGTTGTCTAGATGTGCCCTAAGTTCTATATTCATTGCTATGATAGTGAACTCTAGACACTCTCTCCAAATGACTTAATTATCATTACTAAAAAGGGTGGATCATATGCCTAAAATTATTATTTCTTCTACTTGAATATATTTCTTGTCCATCTAGGAAGAACCATTTTCAGAAATCAGGTCAACAGAACAGATCTACTCGCAAAAACAATCAGAACGCCACTTAGACTCAATTCGACAAATGATGTGCTTTGAAACGTGTACATTTGGATGTAAAGTTTGCTTTGAATCAGCAAATGCATATGCTGGATGTATCCTAGGTGACTCCCTATACAACATTATTGGTGAACATGTTTTAAAATTAACCCTCAAGCAAGGTAAGTCATATTTATAATATAATTTAGTTTGTAACTTACAGGGGAAAAAATGCTACAGCAAAACAGTGACAGGTGTGAAAAAATAACTTCAGAAAATCTATTTATAACATGTAACACAGTGTATAATTAATGATGCAGTTTGTGGTAGTTGTTTGATTTTTATAATATTTTAGCCAGTGATGAAGTGCAAAATATTAATCCTGGGAAAATGATTTGAATCTACTTGCAGATTCCAACTATAGTGGACACCTTGAATTAGTGGACATTGTATAAGTCTTGGCTTAACCGTCCTTCATAATCATATATAATGATGATGATGGACCTCTAGTTAGTTATGACTAATAATTCCACCTCACCCCCACCCCACCCCAAAACCCAACTTTTTCAGCCTGGCAGCACCTCTACCAAAGGATTTCTTAGATGCTCAGGGCAATGGGAATGACAAGTGCACTTCTCTTCCAGTTATAGGACATATAAAAACAGGCAATTGAGGGGCCCCTTGGCAACCTGACACAACTGTTGTCCCAAGGTGCCCCATAAATGGGAAAGTCCTCCAACCATCATTTCCAAGAGCCTCAAGTGATCTGCAGCACCTCAGAAATTCTTACAGTGCTCCCATGTGAAAATGTAGGGTTTGGAGTCGACAGTCAGATATTAGTAACTGCAATGAGATCATAAATCTGGCTTACCACTTCATAACTACTAAACAGAATGCAAGCTCTGGTTTGAGTTTTTATGACTCATGTGTTGTGAGGGAGCACTAATTCCTTAACTACAATCCTATATTTTGTCCATACAGGGTTAATTCTTATCTCTATCTTTTGTCACCTTACCAATTAGTTAGTACTGTTACCAAGCATGAAAGGGTCCTGTGTGCTAATGTACAAAGGGTGACAAGGCTTTTGCTTTAAAAAGAGGGTGAATGACCTCAAAAATACTATTTCCCCAATTACAAGTTGAAACCAAAAAAGCATGAAAAATGCCTTTGAAATGCAGAGTTAAAACAACATGGTGTCTATGCTCCGGTCAAATAAACAAAATGAGTTATTTGTTTATGCTGGATCCTCAATATTAGAATTAGCTGTTTGAATACCAGTGATTATGGTGAATGTAACCATGACAGGACTGTATTTGCTCTGATTTAGAGTTTGGAAAATTTTTGTTGTTGTTGTGGTTGTTGTTGTAGACTAGAAAGAGATGTTTAAGCTTTAGTCTGATTTTATACTTTTCCACTCTCATACATACAATGAAATCTTTTAACATATATTTCTATCAATCTATGAAATGAGAATTCTGATAATATTATTTGCCACTGATTGTTATTGTTAGTCACCCAGATGTTTGTTTTTTCATGTGTGCCAATCCTCCATGAGGAAATGGGGATCTTTGTTGATTAATCTGAATCTACTTGCACTGAAAGTTGAAACTGGTATATTGCCAGTTGCTGGGTTCACTTGTGAATGAAAGTGTAGAAGTTCTGGATTGCAGTGTTAAGATCTAGGCTTGATTGCCTTCCAACCATGTTGATAATGTGATTTCCATGTCTATATCCTTCAGAATTTTGCAATGTTTGCAATGTTCTCATTAAATTTGAGCTAGTGAAAAAAAAATAAGCAGAATACAATATGTGTTTTAAAGGATTATTGCAATGACTTCCAAAATGGCCTTTTGTTATGGCTTCAGGAGAGATCAAAGAGGTGTGTATGAGGCCCCTTCCACACAGCTGCATAAAATCTACATAAAACTGGATTATATGGCAGTGTGAACTCAGATAATCCATTTCAAAGCAGATATTGTAGATTATCTGCCTTGATATTTTGGTTATATGGCTGTGTGGAAGGACCCTGCGTATCATGAGTGGGTCTTAGCAACATCTAGAAAAAGGAAGAGGTCCATCTCCAAGTGCACAGTAAATGGTCTTTTTTGGTTTGTTTTGGGGAAAGGGTCTGTGTATTTTGGCAAATGTATATATTTCAAAGTCCTTTATTCTTCCTTATCAACACAGTCGTTCCCATATGAATCAATAAAACAAACAGGTAGCCCTCCCAGTATTAAGTGCCCAATGTCTACATTTGAAAAACCATAGTTTCTAGCATAAATTATAAGGATCTTATGCAATAGCATTGGTATTATTTATATAATTTTAGATGATACAAGAGCACCAATTGAGAAGTTACAATTCACACTTCAAGGAGGTGTGCAAGCTGCTGAAGCGAAGGTGCGGCTACAGATGAGAAAAGTAAGAATTGGGGTATTTCTCTATAATTTGCTTTGATGATTATGTGCTTGCAAGATCCAAATCTTGTATGGTTTTCCACTTGTTCTTATTTTAGGACATTTGTTGCATTCAAGGCTTTAGGAAAATGTTACATACATTGTTACATTGATAAAAAAAAGCTAGTTGTGACTGTGTTGCCTTGAGCAATGGTTTTTCTAACTAGACATTGCAGGCATATTAATTTGTACAAAGAAAGATTGTGTGGATGACAGTAATAGCCAATACAAGAAAGCTGCAAATATAATCTCTTATGCAGACTGTCCTATGGTAAAACCTTTCCATATTCATGATGCATTTGTTGCCCAGGACCAAACTAAGTTCCTAAGAGGTCAATGCTATTGCTTGCAGCTGTTTGGAGAACTCTGTATATTTTTTCCAGTAAAAGCAGTGCAAGGTTGTAGCAATTCAAACCTCTGGAGTTGTTCTAAGGGGAGGGGGTGCTCTCCCCTCCATCTTTTACTACTTAAAGTATTAAATTAGATACATGTGCCCCCATGACCGATTTTTGCCACCAGAGAGCACAGTAATATATTCCAAGAATCAGGGGTTGACTACAAAAGAATTTATTCTCAATCATTCATCATGAAGGAGAGGGACTAGAAATATGATTCTGATCTATTTAAAAATCAGCTGGCTAATAGTAATCAGACCCATGGTTATTATAAGATCTCATGTTGCCAAATTGTAGTTGGCTCTTTTTTATAAAAAGAAAAATCAGAGTTAGCTTAATGAATTTGCAAAATCAGCCAATGAGAATGAAAAATAATGTAAAGCTATAAATACGTTCCGGTTCTATAAATAAGAAAATCAATGATCCCTATTGATAAGAGAACCTCCAATATTCCATTATTCTGTGGATGTGATATTGAAATGCATTGATTCTGTTTGAGTCATATGCAAAATTGATCTGACTTTGGGTTTTATAGATAGATAGATAGATAGATAGATAGATAGATAGATAGATAGATAGATAGATAGATAGATTATAAAAGTGTATATGGTGCAGAAAAGACCACTTTCACATTTAAGAGGTGGAATGTAATGAAAGATTTTAATAGGAGGAGGAGTCACAGAACTTTTCTGGATGTATCCACCAGGAAAGGAGCAGCAGCTCTGAAGATTCTGAATCCAGCTCTGATAGCTCATCAAGCACTGCCTCTTTGGCCAGAGGTTCAGATAAAAACATGAACTTGAAGCAAGCAAGAATTGTGAATGAAGAAGGGCAGCAGGAACATGATCAGGAGCGTTACCGTGATCAAAAGCAACCTCCAGAGAAAAGGAAGAAGACGTTATCTTCCCAGCTTAGGAGGAGTAGCAGTAGCAGTAGCAGTAGCAGAAGTAGTAGCAGCAGCAGCAGCAGCAGCAGAGATAGTAGCAGCAGTGACAGTAGCAGTGACACCAGATCTAAGCAGCATGGTAAAGGGAAGCACCAAAAATACCAGAACAAGAAACACAACAAGAATCAGTCAGGCAATAAAAGGGGACGTTTTGATGAAAGCAAATATTCAGAGAGACCTCCCACCAAATACAATGAAGAACGAGAGAGGCAACGTTGGACTGATCTATCTCCCCCAGTAAGTATTTTCTTTAAAACACACTACAACTGAGATTACATTCGTTTATTTGTGATGATGTATTTGAGCAAGCCTTTCTTCTTGGAATTTTGCAGAGGATACGAGGCCTGCAGTGGTCCATGTTCAGCTTCAAGGAAAGCTATCCCAACCAGGTAGGTTCCAATCTGAAATCCATTTCCTTTGTAGGAAAAAGATGATAACTCAGTGCCGTATACCTTCCCCTTTGCTTAAAGCTAATTTTCCTAATAAATAGGTATTAAAAGTTCTCCTATCTATAGCTTGGAATAATAAATGCATTCGCACGTAGAATTTATGCAATTTGACACCTCTTGAACTACCCTGGCTAAATGCTATAAAATCACAAGAATTGCCGGTCTTTGATCTTCTCCATTGAAGAATGCTCATGACACTACAACTCCCAGGACCGGAACTACAGGATAGGCTCTGCTGAGTAGTTCCATATAGTCTATATGAACAATTTGTCTAGTTTTGTGACTCTGCATCAAAACAGTGACTCATATGGATTCTTGCATATGTCTATTTACTGATTGTTAACCTCTGGCTAGGGCCAAAATTATTTCCCAAAATCCCAAACCATGTGTATTCTCTAAGATCAGGCCCACATGACACAATACCATCCCCAAAATTAATATAATTCTCTTCCAGAAAGTTATCAGTAAAAAGGTGGGTTTTTTGCTGTAAGAAAAAATCATTATAGTCTTCTATGCTCGGGCTAATAAGCATAGATGAGGGTTAATAAATTGAAAATAAATCCAGATGAGACAAAGGTACTCCTGGTCAGTCACAAGGCAGATGAGGATGTGGGGTTACAGCCTGTGTTGGATGGGTTCACACTTTCCCTGAAGACCCAGGTGTGTGGTCTGGGGACTCAGTGTTTACCCTGGTGTCAGTGGTGGCCAGGAGCACCTTTGCACAATTAAAACTTGTGTGTTAGCTGCATACATACTTTGAGATACCAAATCTGGCCATGGTAGTCCACGCTTTAGTCACATCCTGCTTGGACTACTGCAACACTACCTTTGAAAATTGTTTGGAAGCTTCAACTGGCCCAAAGATCAGCAACCAGACTACTAACTGGAGCAGTATTCAGGAAGTGGACAATTCCCATATTACAGCAGCTCCACTGGCTGCCGGTCTGCTTCTGGGCTTAATACAAAGTGCTGATTATTACCTATAAAGCCCAGGCTATCTAGAAAACTGTGTCTCCTTCTACAAACTTGCATGAGCTCTTCGATCAGCTGAGGAGGTTCTACTCTTGGTCCCACCTTTATCTCAAGCACGGCTGGTGGGAACGAGTGGGGAGGCTTTCTCAGTGATCCCCCCCCCCCGGCCTTTGGAATGCCCCCTCCTTACTCGCTTTTAAAAAGCAACTTAAACATTTCTATGCACTCAAGCATATTACAAGAAGGAGGAATGGAGCTTGTAACATTGATAAACAGAACAGAATAGGATACTTATTTGATATGCTATCTATCTATACATTTTTATTTTCAGCTAAGGCTCTGGTGGGACTTTCATCCAAAAGCGAACCAGAGTAAGGATAAAGGCATTGACCTTCCCTTTATACATCTTCATATGCAGGCAAACAAAAAAAAATGCTTCTACATACGTTAACATAATCACTACATCACCCTAAGCATAATTGAAATATCAAATTCTATCTTCCAGCATGCAAGAGGCATGTCTCTATATATTTTTTCTAAAGCAGCTTACATCCATCAGGAGCCTACTTTTGAGCTGTCAGGAGGGAGGGAGAGAAACTCTGTCTGTGCCATGCCTTTTCGTATGTCCCCCCACTGGAATGTTCACCCCCCCCCCCCTTGCTGTGCCTTGGGCACAGATCTCCTTCAGCATTCTTTCTGGCCTGCACCATGTATAAAGTGGGACTTGAGTATCTGTGCGTTGTAAAACCAAGCCCCAGTAAATACCAAGGGCCACACTGTAATAAAGAAGAGGATTTATCCTCTTAAAATTGTATTCTGTCTACTTACAGAAGACAACTAAATAAAAGGCTGGGACAGTTCATCCCTAGGGCTTTGATACTTCACTTTAGATTGTACTAGGGAAGCAGGAGATAGATAGATGTGTCAACTTGATTTCCTTATCTTAGATGTAGAAAGTAGATACGGCTATTTGCTCTTTAGGTCTGGAGTGCCAAAGAAGAAGGCATTTTTCTAGGGTCTACAAAAATGTCATGCCTTTCCAGTGCCTCTGAAATTTGCTTTGAAAAATAAGAATTCAAGGGACAGAATGTTGCCTTACATTTTCACATATATCACAGTGCCTTCGCTGCTTTCCCTGTTGCTTTTGCTCTCTCAACTCTTCCTCCCCTTTGTTTTGCAAATCAGGAAGAGTCAAGCAGTTCATCATCTTCCTCTGAATCAAGCAGCAGCAGTTCCAGCAGCTCCAGTCGGAGAAGCAGCAGCAGCTCCAGTAGCAGCAGAAGGAGCAGCTCCAGTAAAAGCAGCAGTAGCAGCAGCAGCTCCAGTAGCAGCAGCAGTGATTCAAGCCAGTCACAAGTATGGTTTAAATGTTATAATAGGTGGTCAAATTTTGAAACAAATAATCATGGAGGACAGTAGCCTTTCCTCTTTTTTCCCTTTGGCAGTCTTTAAACGGAGTTGGGATGGGCATCTTTCAGGAGGGCTTTCATTGTGTACTTTTTGATTAGAAAAGATGAATAATGTTTAATAAAGTTTAAGGCAACAAGGAAAAGTTGGCCACAACCACAATACAAGCAAGCAAGCCACATCCCTGTACTTGCAAGAGGTGAGCAGAGCTGTTGATCAGCAAAGCTCTTGTCTCATTCATAAGAACTCCACAAAGCCAACTTTGTGTCAATTAATAAGAAAAATAAAGTGGGGTAGTTGGACAAGATGGCACTTGCTTTCCCTTCCATCTCTATGAGTTGATGAATAAAATACAAAAATCTGTAGAGAAATTGTAACTTCATATAGTATGAATTCCTTATTCGTGGGACTGGTATCCACAGTTACATTTACCCATGTCTGATGAAATATGACTTCTTTTGTCATTTTCTGGATTTTCTGGCATGATTCTATGGTATTTTTGGGCCAAATTTATTTCATAGTTATCCATGACTGCATGTATCTATGCAAAGTCTGGGAATGTATTTCCCACTCCTCCTCCCACAGATAAAGAGGTTGTACTGTATGTACATTCAGTTGTAATAACAACCAGGTCATTGATTTTCAAGGAAAAACTAGAAAAACTACCCTCTCCTTATTAGCTCCTAGCCGTTTTATATACCAGATAAAAGGAGCATGACCCAATAGTATTTCTTTCTCCACTGATGGGTCTTCTTCCATCAGCAGACCTTAGGGAAGGGTATGTAACATCATTTTTTGTCCTATGAATTTAAGTCTTGCCAGGAAGAGTGGAAGGGAAAGAAAGTTCTATCATATCAGCACATGTTGATAGAACTTCCATGTGGCTACCAGGGTCTTCCTGGACTCCTAGAGACCTCTATCCATCGGGCACACACTGAAAATATAGGATATAGCATAAATATCTTCCACATTTTGAAGGGGTACAAAATTAACAATGTCATCTAGAAAAAAATGTATGTATTTCTGAAAAGTTTCAAAATTGTATCAGACAAATCATTTTGTAAGGATGCAGTTTTACATTGACATGCAGAATCCTCCTAATACTCCGACTTAATATCCCTCGTGATGTGGAATGCTTATGAGCAGAACACCTTGGCAATTACTGAGTAGATGCTCTTACTGCTTCCACATTTTCTGGCATTCTAATGGTTCTAGGTCTGCCAATGATTTTTTTCAGTGTGGATCCAATTGCCCGAAGATTAAAAATCTAAAGCAAAATAGTTTTCCAATTTGGTACAGATATATTTCAACCAAGTGCGAAGTGTGTACAAAATGCCCTCTGCATCATTATAACAGAATGGTTGTTCTCGCAATACCTTTGAACAACAGAGCCCCAATGTTCACTGGTCAAACTCATGATGGGTACTGAAAATAGCAGCGCCTACTCTACAAAAATAGACCTACCTCACCACTCTACTCCCACTACAGCCCACACGGTGCCCCCTTGAAATATGGGCGATCTTTAGGCCCCACCCTGTACATGACCTCCAAGGAGCCAATTGCACAAACATCAGAAGCTTCTATGCATCACAGTTGTCCATAATCATTCAACCCATCTGTCCGTTTTAGTTACAAAACAGTTTTTTTCCCCCACATCACAAGAAAACTGCACCCTAAGAGATCTAGGCAAATAAAAATAAATCATTCCCATAATACTCAACATTTCTCTTCCCTCCTGATAGTAGTTAGACCACAAGCACAATGTTGACTTTAGACCAGGGGTTGTACATTTTCAGAAGCAAGATAGCAAGCTCCTCTTTCTTGTCAAAGTTTTAAAAATATTTGCTCTATAGACTAAATATACCATGTGTTATATTTTTAGAATGCAAAACATTTTGAAAATACAAATAGTAGAGGACTAATACAACCCCAATTTCAAATGTGCAAAAGTGTTCAAATGCTTTCTTCACTCTTTTTTTAATTGAGGAAGACTATTCCCCTGAAAACGTTGTCAAGTAAATATTAAGGAAATATTCAAAAGCCCATTTACTTCCTGTATAACTGTAAAGCACCTCTGGTTCATCCACATATACATGCTCAGTCACAGGAATGAACATAGCCAAGGAGGCCCGTTGACATTTACACAATACCAACTCTTTATTTTCATTCTGATTTGAACATCCCCTAAATATTAAAATATTTATAAAATGTGAATTCATAGAAATGCCAATAAAACCTTTAAAAATGTGACTGCATAGAAATACCAATAACTGAAATTACTGATGATTCTCAGAGCAGCCTGGTTCTCATTTGCTCATATAGCAATCAAAATCAATTGTCCAAAGCTGTGTCATCACTAGTTTGCCAGTAATGGGCTCATGGGTACCAAATCCTAGTAAGAACCGATGAACTACTACAGAGTAAAAACTCTTAAGGGGCTCTTCAAAGATTTATTTTTCAAAGATTAAAAGAGATTTAAAATGTTGTGGTGGTTGTGGCTGCAAGTCATTTCTAGCTTATGATGTCCCTAAGACAAACTTATCACAAGGTTTCCTGAGGCTAAAAGTGTGCAGCTTACCCAAGGTCACCCAGTGGGTTTCATGACTGAGCAGTGATTCAAATCCTGTTCTCCAGAGATTTTGTCCAACTTTCAAACTGCTGCACTATGCTGGCTCCACTAAAAGTGACATTTCTATAGATCACCAACCCCAATGTGGTAGCTCTTGTATAATATTGAAAAAGAAGTAATGCCGCCAATGATCACAATACATATTGAAACGGTGTCCTTTGTTTGCTTGCTTTTCAGTCTGAAAACCGTCGAGATGATCTTATACCTTACTTCACTGTTGTGGCTCGGGCACTTAGGAGTGACAACAAAGATCAGGGCTACAATTTGTCCATGTACATGGACCATGAAAGCTACAATTTCCACATCAAAATGATTGCAAAAGAGCTTGCCAAAACTAAGTGGAGAGCCTGTTTTGATAGCCAGGTGTTGCCGTACAAATTCCAGGTAAATATTTTTCCCATTTATAGTTTTTGTTCTGTTTTTGCAATTTGAAATACATTTTCGGCAATGTCTCCACAATTTTTGTGAGAATCTTTAAAAAAAGAAATTACACAAAATAACAGCTGTAGCAGCACAAAACAGCTGTGGCAGCACAACATGAGATATGAGTAAATGACTTTTAATTGGTTTGGGGTTACAAATCACTTCAGAGTGAAAGCCTCCTCATTTTTTCCAAGTCAATTGAATTCATGGCACTACCAGTAGTTCTCTGAAATATTTCAAAAATAATTGTGGAGGAATACATGTTAGAAGAATAAATCAGCAGACCTGACTTATTCTTCTAACATGTATTCCTCCACAATTACAGAAAGAAGCTATTTTTGAGTTTGAGGCAGGAGGTAAATCTAAACTCTGACACAATCACCACTTGAAATCAAATAACTGAAGCTCAAACTGTCGCTTAACAAATCACAACTGGTATTATAAAGGGAGAGCAGGATTTCCTATAATTTAGGGTAGGCAGGAACCACAGTTATGTGTTGAAAGTAATAAGCGCCATCAAATTAGTAGATAAAACTTTCAGTTGGATTTATGTAAAAGATTGATTTAATGGGTCTACTCTAATAATGGTAATATTTTTAATGAATACTCAAATTCCAAACAAAAGGGGATTCCGATATGCCCATAATTAGAAAAATCTTGGATGGACAGAATTTTTGCAATTTGAGGTTCATTCTACATGAAACAATCACGTAGGGGTTTTCACAGAAAATTGCATTTTCTGCACATAAATGTTCTCTTCATTGCAGAAAATGTGATTCTGACCATTGTGTTCAGAACATTGTTTTCTATGGGAAAACCCCACATGTGGATTTTTGCACAATAAAACCTGAAATGCAGATAGAAAAATTGTTGAATTATTCATTCTTACCCGCAATAATGAAATTTACATAGATGTATATATCTAATTTACTCTAGTTCAGCCTACGGATAGAATTCATTTAACTGCCATTATCTTATAAACCATTGTATTGATCAAAATAGGAAACTAGGCTTCATTCCTATAAAAAAATTTTTTTGTTTTGCTTCCTGCAAAAGAGTTCTATAAAGTGGGGTAAAGAATGTCGAGATTACAGCATTGAAATGAAAGCTTCCAAAGGCCAAGTTGCAAGACATGATGCCTTGCAAATGAACATGAAGTGGACAAAGCTTCCAGCCTTCATCAGGGAACAAGTAGCATGGTATACCAACCACAAAATTTCTTATTATCCTTGTTGCTGAACTTCTGGATTTGAAATAATTTAATTAAATTATCTTCTACATATCTTGATTTTATTAAGGGCTGTGGAATACCTTCCTGGTATTGCCTACCTTTCTGGCTTAACGGCAGTTTATGAGAAAAATCCTTCCCGTGAACTGATGCTGAGAATGATTGCAACAACTCCATATACAACTGCTATGATCTTTAAAATTCCTGGGGTACGTGTCCAATATTCCCTCTTAAAATAATTGGAATGGTTTGATTTTTTGCTTTGAAGGATTAAATGAGTGGTAAATGAACAAATATGGATAGAGACATGATGTTTAAAAGATGAACTGCTGTGGGTACAGAGAGGGTCTTATTGGGGTATTAAGCTATTGTAAGAACTTTTGCACAAGGGGTTGTGCAAAGGTAGTTAGTCTAAACCTAACCAGATAATGGTTACTCCATGACAACGGAACGATAGATAGTTCCTCCACTCCACTGCCATCTTCATCCCATCCCATGCAGAATGTGTCCAGCATGTGTCCAGTGAAATGGGGCCAGATATCAGCTGGGACAGCCCCATAGTTGTCATGGCAGCCATGAAGTCCTGAGCCACTCCCGACAGGCTAGTCTCCGCAAGGGCATTCAAGTCCCCCAGCACCATGAACTGGTGGGACTCCAATGCCAAGCTAGAGACCAACCCAACTAGCTCAGGTAGGGAAGTGATCAAGTCACCCTCACATTTATCCTGGCAGATAGGGAGTCATTGACATTTTTTCAACACGTTGGCACAAGTTTATGGCACCTTCTTTTGTGTCATCAGTGGCACAATGGTCAAATCTAGTATAACCCCTCTAGTGTACATTTATAAAAAAAGTCCACACAAATTTTCCACAATTTTGAATGCATTATTACATGGCAAAAAGATGCCATACAATTATTACTATCTGAGAATTTTTATGTTTGTAGCTGTCTTCTACTTCACTATTCCTCTTGTTACTGGGAATCAATGCAAAAATGCTTTAATTTCTGTAAAGAGGTCTGCAGTTTGCACAGATTTATGTATTTATTTCAGACATTTATATCCTGTCTACCCCAGTGCGGCTTACAACAGCATAAATTATAGTTAAACCATTACACAATACATAAAACATTAAGTTAAAATCCATTTAAAACATTATTTTAATGTTGTCCAGATGTTGTCAAACTACAACTCTAGCAACTCTAGCCAATGTAGGCAATGAGTAGATATATGCTGGGAGTTGCAGTTCTGCAACCTTCGGAATTCCCATTTCTTCTGTAAAGGGATACTCAATTCCCACCTCTGCTGTAAAGGATTTTTTTAAGCAGGAAGGAAGAGTAGTTTGCTCTCCAGGATCACCCCTTTTTTCTGAAGGCAATACAAATTCCATGATAGGCACACTTCAACTGTATCCTATTATTTCTCTTTCTCCTCGTGAATATCAGGGATTGAGAACTCTTGATCTGTCATATGTTTATAGCCCACACAGTCTTTTGCCATCAGTCATACTGGATGGTTACTGTGAGAGCTGTCAGCCCAAATATCTGGAAGAGTAAAGGTTCTCTCACCTGATATAGGCTAGTGGCTCTTCTAGCTGCTTCATTGAAAAATGCTTGATTGTTCTTGGAATATGTTTCTTTATTGACTTGTGGAGATGTGCTTTGATTAATTTTGTAGAAATTTTAAGATTTTTTTTTCCTCAAAGGTTTGAGGCTGACTTATGTGGATGGACAGTTGGTGGTATTTCTGTAGGAAAGGGATTACTTTTTTTCTTGAATTTACATATAGACTGAATTCATTTACTGAAAACTGTGAGAAGAAATTTTAAAGTGCATATGCTTTAGTCTTTTTGTTAAATGTTCAGTCAAGATGCCAGCTTTTGTCTTTAGCCACATTGATCCTAACATATTCAATATTTGCTGTCTAGGAAACCTTTTACAGAGATAGTCTCTGTACTCCATTTATTTTACCAGTTATCCCAGGTGCATATTATCAGCCTCCTCAAATAACCAGCTTCAACATTATAGATTTTGCTTCGTGGCTAGCCCAAGGAGATCAAGGTAAATGGATACTGTTTTACTTTAAGTCAGTATTTGGATTTATTACCTTTAGCTGTCTCTTAGCTTACTGTAGAATCATTGTTTGCATACATCTGAGATTAGATCCAACCTTAGCTGCACTTCAGGTAAACTTCAGACCCCTTGAAATCATGAGTGCCTTCAATTCAAGCTAGTTCAGTGTGTCTTCTCTAAGGCTGAATCCAAACTTCTATTTCCAACATTAAAACTTTGAAAGTACAATCTTGTGCATGTCTGCTGAAAATAAAATATTTTAATGAGACTCTGGATGCATCTACACTGTAGACCAGTGGTTCTCAGCCTTCCTAATACCACAACCCCTTAATACAGTTCATCATGTTATGGTTTTTGTTTTGTTTTTTTTAGTGTCAGGAGTGACTTGAGAAACTTGCTTCTGGTTTGAGAAAATTGGCCGTCTACAAAAACGTTGCCCAGGGGATGCCCGAATGTTTTTTGATGTTTAACCATCCTTTTGGGAGGCTTCTCTCATGTCCTCATATAGGGAGCTGAAGCTGACAAAGGGAGCTCATACGTGCTCTCCACAGATTCAAACCTACGACCTGTCGGTCTTCAGTCCTGCCGGCACAAGGTTTAACCCATTGCACCACCAGGGGTCCATCATGTTGTGGGGAGCCCCAACCATAAAATTATTTTAGTTGCTACTTCATAACAGTAATTTTGCTATTGTTATGAATCGTAATGTAAATATCTGATATGTAGAATGTATTTTCATTCTCTGGACCAAATTTGGCACAAATACCCAATACACAGAAATCTGAATACTGGTGGGGTTGGGGGGATTACTTTTGTTATCTGGGAGCTGTCATTGCTGGGATTTATAGTTCGTTCGGAACTCCACCAACATGGAATTGAACCGAACTTGGCATACAGAACTCCCATGACCAATAGAAAATGCTGGAAGGGTTTGGTGTGCATTGACCTTGAGTTTGGAAGTTGTAGTTCATCTACATCCTGTGGACTCAAACAGTGATGGATCTGGACCAAACTTGACACAGATATTCAATATGCCCAAATATGAACACTGGTGGAGTTTGGGGCAAATAGACCTTGACATTTGGGAATTGTAGTTGCTGGAATTTATAGTTCACCTACAATCAAAGAGCATTCTGAACCCCACAAATGATAGAAGTAGGCCAAACTTCCCACACAGAACACCCATGACCAACAGAAAATACTGTGTTTTGTGATGGACTTCAGCAATCCCCCCGACCCCCCCCCCCCCGGGTCTCAACCCCCAGGTTGAGAAACACTCTTGTAGACTTAATGCAGTTTGATGTCGCTTAAACTGTCTAGGTGCAAAAATACGAAATTTTGGGAGTTTAGCTTTCTCTGCCAAAGGGTGCTGTGCCTCACTGAACTACATATCTTATGATCCCACAGCACTGAGTTAAAGTGCTATCAAACTGCATTCATGCTGCACTATCGATGTACCCTTAATAAAATAAACATTTGCCATTTGTACAGTTTTCTTGCTTGTCTGTAGCTGCTGGGGTTCACTGTTGAACAAAACATGGGATCATATCCTGTCTTTCTTCCCATGGGGACTTAAGGCAGCTAACAATCCCACACTTTAGTCATAGTTTAAAAAGCTCAATACATAAGTTAAAAACAATTAAATAGTACAGTGTGGTAAAAACAGATTAAAATATAATGAATACACTTGAAACAGCCTTTTAAAACTCACAGTCACCCCCCAAATCCCACCCATGCCAGTTCATTACAGCTACCAGTCACTAGTTTAGCACAGGAACCACTTCCTTGAAATTAAGTGGAAAGAAGTGATAGATTCATCAGCATTGGAAGGAATGAAACCTGTGTCGAAGAGGAGAAAAGCTTTCTAGATTTTTTCCCTACTAGTCACTGGGTAATTGGGGCTATGTTCATTGATGCATCTCCCAGTGATGGTGTTTATTTTCTTTGCAGCTGTATGTGAGGTGGGTGAAAACAGGATTGTAACTTTTGATGGCAAGATATTCAACACTACACTCAAAAGCCAGGATTGTGACCTACTAGTGGTTCAGGACTGCAACAAAAGTGTCAGTTATCACCCAAAATTTCGTATATGGACAAGAAAACCAGATCTTGAACTTCCAAGGGAGATTCACCTCGATTTGAGTACTGTGTAAGTTTTATCATCTGCAAAGGCTTTTTATGATGAAAATAATTATTAAACTGTAGTTTCCTGTATTTCCTTAGGACACCTTCAAAATGATTATATAAAGTATTTCTATTTCTATGACCTAAATCTACTTGTTAGCCCTATTAAATCCATTGATGGATATGGTGGATATTTGATGGAATAGTCAATGCTTGCCTAAATTGCACTGATTCAGTTATTGTTTTTTAATTGAGTCTAGCAAATGGATTTGGGCCTATGAACTGAGATCTTTCTTATTAATCTGAAATCCAGTGTTTTGCATGCAATATATTTTTGGAACAGTAGAATTAGAATTTAATGACTATTGGGTTGTTTTTTGTGTAAGACTTCAATGATTAAATCTCAGTGAATCCACACAATTTACTAGACCAGGGAATGCAAATGTGGGGCTACATCACTCTGCATCCTTCAACTTTGAAAATCCTCGTGGGGAGTTTCAATAGTAACTAGAAGGCTACATAATTCCCACTTCTGCATTAAATGATCAAGACTGAGATGGAAAACGTTTGGATGAACATTTTCCAGTAGCCAGAACAAATTAAATTATTTAAAAGGGGAGCATGAAGTTTGTATTGGAGATATTTACGCAGAAGTTTGTTGAACCCTAGGGAAAACTATTTTTATGTGACATGTTTCTATAAACAGGAGTTAGTTCTGTCATATGAACATCAATACTGTTCCATTATCTGGGCAGAAGCCACTAGGGGGCACTAGAGAGAGAAGAATAGTTCATTTTATGGGGGTGGAGGTAGGTTGAAGGAGGAAAACCATTTCCCCCTGTTTTCCTGTTAATCGTTCCACCCATGTCCCGTTGTGGAAACAACTTTCGTTTATGATATTGAAAGGGGGAGAAATCAATGAAAAAGGGGGAAATTGTATTCCTCCTTCAACCCCCCGTCCCCACCCCCCCCCCTTGTGGCTTCCACCAGGATAATGAAACAGTAACTGAAAATCTATGAATATATTGTTATTCTTATTGTGTGTAATCATTCCATTTTTGTATATGGCACTTTGCAAGGGAGTTTATTACATGAGGCAGAGAAGTGGCAATTACAACTGGACGTCTTGGACTTATCACATGACTGTGCTCCTTTCTTGCCACTCTCCTAGTGGAAACTATTGGAAAATGTTTCTTTTACAAATGGATGCCATTAGCAGATTCTCCGTTTTTGTAAAAGAAATGTTTTCCAGGAGTTTTGCCTTCAGAGAGTGGCAGGAAAGGAGCCATATGATGTGATGAATCCAAGTCAAAGACATTGCTGCTCTACTAATTGCAATGTACCTGCCTTGTGTGATAAATTCTCCAGAAAAATGAGAATACATGGCTTTAAGTGGGGGAAATAATAGAAGAAAGTGGAGGAAATGCAGGTAGCATGGGAAGGAAAAAACATTCATTTGTTACAGTTGAACATAGAAGGGGTCCTATCCTATGGCTCTTAGAACTGTGTTCCTCTTGTATGAGTAGGCAGTGCTCTGATCACAAGGAAATCTGAGACTTCCCTGTTACAGGATCTCCAAGAAGATCTATACCTTCATCATTCCAACATCAGTGCTTAAATATACAAGAGGAAAAGCAGGGATTTAGCCAAAACACAATAGCCTCTGGATTGAGAAGTATTTATATTAGCTTTGGAGATTTGAGAAAACAAAAATAAATCAGGCTGGAAAAGGGAAAAAAATTAAAACTACCATCTTTTTTTATTTCTGTTCTGCCAACTGTTCTTTTAATATAAAGAGTATTCTGGTCTCATATTGATCTGTAGGTTGTTTCTTTGTTAGATTTAGATAGAGTAGAATATTAGGCTGAGACAGTGGTTGCAAAGGCTTCATGGAAATGGGCTGGAACATGCTAAGGGGTACCACTCTTTGTTGGCACATTACCTCACAATATGGCACAAGGCCTTGAGGGTGTCTGTTGGAGTTTAAGGTCGTGCCAGATTTTTTGACTTGGAATTTGAGTATGCATACCTTTTCTGCATGATTTTCAAGGTCTCTTTTTCATATTGTATCAGTGAAAGGCATCTTCCCTGGTTGTTTGATCTCCACAAAATCAGTTGAACCTAGTTTTTTTAAAATTAAAATTTTCTTTACAAACATGATAAATACACACAGTACACATAACACACATGACATCCACATTACAACATGTAAAGCATCCCTCTTTCCCCCATCCTACACAAACCCTTATCCAACACACCCATGCACCCTGTACCTTGGCTTCCATCCCTAGTCACTGTGGTACTTATGATATTACTTGTTTAACCTTCTGTCAACTTTGCCCATAAATTCTTCTTGGGACTGTTTATGATACATTTATTTAACTCTCCTTCCAGATATGCAATTGCCCATTCCCATGTCTTTAGGAACTCTTAATTGAACCTAATTTTTCAACATGACTTAATTGTATGGTCATTGTGACTCTAAAATATAACTGGATAGTGTTAGAAAAAAATGTCAAAATAGAGAAACTGTAAAAAAAAACCAATAAGGCATTTCCCAATTGGCATGACCAAGTTATATGAGTAGTGACTGACAAATATATCAAAAACAATGGCTTACATGTTTTAGGCTATTATTGTACATCAGTTTTATTGTATGCCTACACTGTCTGGCCTTACAATACTGTACAACTGAGTCACAGAATCCTGTCTGTATATGATTCAGTTACTTTCTGGAATCTGTATGAGTTCAGATCGATGTGATGCCATGAGTACTTTGTCATAACATTGTCCACTCCTGCAAAGCACAACAGAGGGAGCATTACTTTGATTTTTTTAAAGTGGGGGTTGTGAAGAACACATTAATGCTTATTATTAAGATCAAGATTTTTGTTTGTCACCTTATAACAATATATGTATATATTGCTTTTCCCAATCCCAAAGGTATATCAAAGTTTTACCTTCACTGGATGCGTATATTGTGCTGTTAAATGGCAAACAAGTACTAGTGGACAAATTGATGCATGAAGATTCTGCAGGTATTTACTTTTAGTTCATACTTTCCACTTTTAGTCACAATTTTAATTGCCTAAGTAGGTCTATAGTTGGGATGGATAACAAATCTGATTGGCAAAGCATGGGAAAATTTTATATCCTACATAAAAGTATTTTTCCAAACAAAAAATAAAGATGTTCAATGAATCAATAAAGCTGTGACTCCCATTATGTAAATTGGACATTGTACCTACTCACCAGATAGACCAATTTGGGTGGTTCAGCTAGTACAGGGTCTTGTGATGCAATTTGAAAGTATCTCAGACATCTAATGGGGAAAAAACACAATTCTGTATCTGTTGCCATTCAGTTTGCCACAAGCATGAAAAAATGTAGAAGTGTTATATGTAAATAATATTTATGTATGTTTTGGTGTTTTGTTGAAAAGTGTAACTGTTTTAGATGTGGGAAAGCCATTCAAAACTATCCCATCTATTTGCAGCAAAAATTAAAATTTACAGAGATAACACAACTATTGCCATTGAGGCTCCAGAGCATGGCCTAATGAATGTGACATATGATCGTACCCTGCTGAAAGTAAGTCCACTGGCTTATTCCTTTTGCTTCTCTCCTTAAATGTATTACATTATATCAACAGCAAACATTTATTATCAATGCAGGTCACTGTTGCTTCAAGGATGAAAGGTCATACCTGTGGACTCTGTGGAGACAACAATGGAGAACAAAGGAATGAAGGTCTGATGCCAAATAAGGAGCTGGCTTTAAATTCCATTGATTATTTTCGATCTTGGTCATCGCCAGACAACTGTGCTTCAGGTCAGTTAAATCTGGAAACTGTAGCAGCAACAAATATCTTCCAAGCTTCCCTGAAAGCAGAACCTCCCCTATATATTAAAAATTCCAAAGTCTCTTAAGTGTCTTAAAGTCCTGTAACACCTTGTTTTTTGACATGGAAGCACTACAGAGCTTTCACAGTTCTCACAAGCTGGTCATCCTCCTAGGCAATTATCTCTTTTGATCTTTGCTACTCCCTGGTAGAACTGACTCTAATAAATGTAGCCTAACATAGTATATCATTAACCTTTGGTTTTCCTGGAGGAGAACCCACATCCCTCAGCTGCATTGCCCAAATAGTGAGAGAGCCCATTATCACGCTCTTTTCACCAATTCATCATCATATCTGAATGAAATATCTAGTTCAATGTACATGTTTTTCAACTGGACCAATCCAACTGTAGTTGGATGAACTGCTTCTCAGTATGGGACAAACAAATCTATTCTAGCTTGGATGGCAATTGATCCACAAATAATATTGTGGATAATACAATGAGTGCCCAAATATTTGTTTTATTTTTTTATAAACCCTAAAATGACCATAATGGAAATAGGAATTCTATAATAGTTTTTTAAATCGTGTATCTGTCCATTTAATTATTTGGGATTAAATTCAATTATCAGGCCCAACTAGACCAGACAATGGGTTTTCACTAAATCAATTTTAGTAATTGATTTAGTAAGTCTGTTTTAGCTGAACAATTAAATGTAGATCTTGGATTTACATTGTAATTCTTAATATGTTCATTTCCTAAAACAACTTGTGATCCTTATAATTGCTTTGAATTCTTTTCTAACAGAAAGGGAACCAACATCATCTGAGTCTGAGAAGGCAGAGACAGCATAACTCTGAGTGACAACAAGAACATCTTGAAAACTACAAGCTTCTTAGCTATGAAACTTTGATACTCAAAGCAACTGGACAGCTACACAAGAAACATAAAAGACTATAATTATTGTTAATATGAACTAATTTAAATTAAATGTATTGTGCACCCATTGTCATTCATAATAAACACATTACACATTTAATAAATAATTATTTTATATTGTTTCTTATTCCTAAAATAAGAAGACTAAAATATATTGGAATCACTCATTGTTTAAGAGTCTCCATGAAAGGAGCTTACACCACACTCCAAGGTGAGTTCTGTTGCTGAAGAGCTTTTACAGTCAGGAAGTTCTTAATGTTCAAGTGGAATCCCCTTTCCTGTATTTGAACCCATTGCTCCAAGTCCTTGTTTCCATGGCAGCAGAAAACGAGGCTGCTCCCTCTTCCTTATGGCATCCTTTGAAAACAATGGCAATCATATCTCCTCTCAATCGTCTCTTCTACAGGCTAAACATTTAAGATGCTCCTCATAGGGTATGCTCTCCAGACCTTAGATCATTTAGTTAGCCTCCTCTGGACCCCTTTCAACTTGACAATATCTCTTTTAAACTGTGCTGCCCAGTGAGGTCTAACTGAAGCAGAATAGAGAGGCATCATGACTTCCATCAATCTAGACATTATAAACTTTTTTATTGTATTTTTAGCTGCTGCATCACACTGTTGACTAATGTTCAACTTGTTTTCCATGAAGACTCCAAGATCTTTTTCACATGGATTGTTGTCAAGCCAGGAGGCACCCGACCTGTGTATTTGCATTTAATTTTTTTCTGCCTATGTGTAATATCTCATATTTCCCCTCATTGAAATTCATTTTGTTAATTTTGGCCAACTCTCTAATCTGTTAAGATGTTTTTGAATTCTGATCATGTCTTCTGGAGCATGAGCTATCCCGCCCAAATTTGGAGTCATCTGCAAACTTGATAAGCTTGCCCTTCTTGGTCCAGAATCAAATCTTGTGACACTCCACTAGTCATTTGTTTCCCAGAGGAAGATGAACTATTGGTGAGCACCGTTTGGCTTCGGTTGCTCAACCAATTACAAATCCACCTAACAGTAGTGTTGTCTAGCCCACATTTGACTAGTTTGATGGCAAGAAGATCATGGAGGACTGCAATGCCTTCATACTGCTCCTGATGGCTTAGGTTTCCAAGCAGGACTTAGATGTGAGGGCGATCTGGCTATGACATCTGTCACCCCATTGATCGCCAGGGTTGATTCGGCAGATCTGGCTGGCTAGGCGGATGTCCCCTTCCTCCCTCACCACTCCATGTGCTTCCCACCCGAAGTTGTGCACTCGGTGGAAGAGGACAATATCCCAGGCATAGAAAGACTGTATCAAGGTCTCTAGTCTTTGGTCCCAGGTATACAATAGCTGTGCTCCCCTGCTAGAACCTCCAAACAAGCTCAAGCAGGACTTTTTACAGAACTCTGGTCCCTCGTCTGAAAACACCTCATTTTCTCCTTTATGTTTCTGAGAATTGACTGTTGTTGACACTCTGGCTCTCTGCTACTGGATGACTTTGCTGAAGCTTCTCCACTCCTCAAACATAGAACCTCAAACACAAGGCTGCAAACACTAGGCCTCAAGTAGAGGTATCAAAGTACTAGACACCTGTATAACCACAAAGCCTTAAAAACAAACACACCACCTTAAACAAGCACCCAGCCTGTACGCAGATGATGTCCAACTCTGTCACTCCTTTCCACCTGCTACTAAAGAGGCTGTTCAGGTCCTGAACTGATGCTTGGCCGCTGTAACGGTCTGGATGAGGGCTAACAAATTGAAATTGAATCCAGACAAGACAGAGGTACTCCTGGTCAGTTGTAAGGCTGAACAGGGTATAGGGTTACAGCCTGTGTTGGACAGGGTCACACTCCCCCTGAAGACGCAGGTTCGCAGCTTGGGTGTGATCTTGGACTCGTCGCTGAGCCTGGAACCCCAGGTTTCAGCGGTGACCAGGGGAGCATTCGCACAGTTAAAACTTGTGCGCCAGCTGTGCCCGTACCTTGGGAACTCTGACTTGGCCACGGTAGTCCACACTCTGGTTACATCCCGCATAGACTACTGCAACGCTCTCTACGTGGGGTTGCCTTTGAAGACTGCTCGGAAGCTTCAAATGGTCCAGCGCTCGGCAGCCAGGTTGCTAACAGGAGCAGCACTCAGGGAGCATACTACTCCTCTGTTGCGCCAGCTCCACTGGCTGCCAGTTTGCTACCGGGCACAATTCAAAGTGCTGGCGTTAGCCTATAAAGCCCTAAACGGTTCTGGCCCTACTTACCTCTCCGAACGCATCTCCTCCTATGAACTGACCAGGACACTAAGATCGTCTGGGGAGGCCCTGCTCTCGGTCCTGCCTGTATCACAGGCGCGCTTGGCGGGGACGAGAGACAGGGCCTTCTCAGTGGTGGCCCCTCGGCTGTGGAACGCCCTGCCTGCAGATATCAGATTGGCCCCCTCCCTGCTGGCGTTTCGGAGGAAAGTGAAGACCTGGCTGTTCGAACAAGCATTTGATTAAACAGTGTAATTGAACATAGGAATACGGAATAATGGATGATGAGACTGGATTCTGATTTTACTGTTGAGGCGCTAATGATTGTTATACTGATGTTAACGATTTATGTGATAATTGTTTTTAATTGCCCTATACTTGTTTTGTGATATTTTTTTTATTGAGTTTTAATATTACAATAGTAAAAAAAAAGGACAGACATACACAAGATATATGACAATGACATAGTCACAACATACATAAGCGTACACAATAATCCATTAACTTCAACACATCCTAACGTCTATATGGCTTACATAGCACACTAACTACAAATACAATTTAAAAACGACTGCCCGCAACGGCATTGGACCTCCTTCTCTCTCCTCTACGGTGTTTCATAGTCTGTTTCACACTTATATAGTTCTGTAGCTTTAAATCTCTTTCTTCTTCCTATCGTGCCCTATCTTACCATCTACTGTTTCATTCTTAACAACATATACATCATTATTCGTTTACAAAGAGTAATTTTTATATTCCTATTTATTCAAACATCATCTATTCCTATTCCTTGGCTCTCTTGGGCCATCTTCTTCTTTAGTTTCCAATCTTTCTCCTACTTACTTATACCACTCCTACCGAAGATCCTAAACCATCCTATGTTACTAGACCCTCCCCTCGGATATTATTCTCTCATCTTGTCTTTTAGCGGGTCAGGCTATCCTCCATTTTATATTGTTTTCCCTGAGCCATGCTTTTACGGGTGTCCAGTTTGTTGGGAGTACAGGCATGTTTCTTGCGGCTGACAGGATGTACGTTAGATGATCTGCATTCATCAACTCAATTATTTTCTCTATCCACTCTTCCTCCGTTGGTAGAGTTCTTTGCTTTCAGACCTTAGCCAACAATAAACGTGCTGCCGTGATCAGATATATGAAGAGTTTGTCCGTCTCTTTATCCCATAACCCTTCCGTTAGGCCTAACAGAAAACACTCTGGTTTTAGGGGGATACTTTTTTTTAGTATTTTTTGGCACCTCTCTTGGGTTAATTTCCAGAACGTTCTTACCCTCTTGCAGGACCACCACATATGCTTATACGTCCCTTCCTCTTCCCCGCACTTCCAGCATTTATTGCACACATGTTTGGAGAATTTAGCTATCATGGTCGGTGTTAAGTACCATTGGTGTATCATTTTCACCCAGTGTTCTTTAAAATAGTAGGAGTACGAGTAGTTTGTTTTTATATTCCATATCCTGCTCCACTCCTCTAAGGATATAGATCTCCCTATTAACCTAGCCCATTTGACCATATATTCTTTGATCCGTTCTTCCTCTGTGGCCCATTCAAGTAGGAGCTTATATTCTTTTGTGACATATTTTCTTGGGCTGTCTAGGAGTCTATCCCAAGCAGATGGGGATTCCATGAAGCCTTTTTTATTATCTTCCTTAAAATATTCATTTATCTGCCAATGCTGGAGCCAAGTGATGTTATTGTATTGTTCTTTTAATACTTCCTGTGTTTTTATTCTGAATGCCTTTCTTTCCTTGAGCAATAGGTCTTTATACGTTGGCCATAAGTTCCAGCCCAGCTCCTTCCTTTGGTGGGCTTCAAGGGGGGAGACCCAGAGTGGTGTTTTGGGGTACATCCTTTCCTTATACAGATCCCATACTTTTAAGAGGGCGGCCCGGATGAAATGGTTTCTAAAGTTTTTTTCCACCTTAGCCTTGTTATGCCATAAATAGGCATGCCACCCAGTTCTTAAATCGTGGCCTTCTAGAGTTAGTTTTGTGATATTTTGTACTGATGTTGTTCACCGCTTTGAGTCGTCTGAGGGCTGAGAAAAGGGGTCTAGAAATAAAGTAAATAAAGTAAATAAATAAATAAAAAACACTTTAGAAATAAAACGCCAACATCCCCTAATTTTGTAATGAGTTTTGAAACATTTGTTTCACTGATTGCACAGCCCTAATCTTTACCATCCAAAAATTGATTTAGCATGTCTGTTTCTGGTGGGATTATCAGTTAGATGCTGGCCTCCAGAAGGAGTTTCAGGTATAATGTTAATATAAATTTAATAGGAAATGTGTGTGTGTGTGTGTGTGTGTGTGTGTGTGTGCCCCCTGTATTTTGTTTTAATTTTTTCCTGATAATATTTTTGAGATTGAAGGCCCAAGTGGAATCTCATTCTTCTGGCCACCCCCAAAGTACCCAAGGTCATGTCCAACTTACCAGATGTGCTGCTTAAACAGTTTTTAGATCACACAACATTATAAGTGCCATTATTGGTGAAAGCATCCATAGCGGCTCTCAAAATACACTGTCCTTTTTTCAATATTTTGAAATGTTCAAATTTATTCTGCCTTGAAATGGTACAGTGAATTCCCAACCACCATTACTAAGCCTTCACTTCCCTTGAAGAGAGGTTTTATCTCCCTCAGTTTTATATCAGTTCTAAAGCTGTCACTGGCATTATCCTATCAGATGCAAAAGTTTGTAAAACTTCATCTGTCCTTTTCTTAATACTTTGAAGACAGCCCCTCAGCATCATAATATAAATGCTGCTGAAATGCAGCAGTGAAACAGTGCAATTGTTTCACATTATTGTGGTTTGTCTCTGGAGTCTGCCATGAAGAAGGCAACTATTTGATTTTCATTCT